AATTATACTTATCTGCGAAAAGGGGCGAATACAAGGGTTTTTTTTTTGTGAGTTCATTGAACTCACAGATTTTTCGAAAATCATATTGATTGTGGCTAGCATAGAGGGTAATAGATGTATTCAATTCAATTTATTTTTTCTTTATTTATTTATTTATTATATTATTGCATTTATATATGTAGGTTTGGAAACAAGTTTTTAAGAAATCAAATAAGTGCATAAAGGGAATGAGCATCAATGTATTGTCATTTTGAGCCTTTATATTTCCTTGTCGCACATAGCATTATGTTTATTCATTTAATCTAAACTAACAGTGAATTTTGGTGTTAAGTAAGGGGTTCTTATGCCTATAATAACTCATGTTATTTCACTTTCCTTTTGTTTGTTGAAAAATTATTATTTTTTAGTTATTTGGAACCTTAATTTAATTTCAGCCATTTTCAAAATAATAAAAAGGCCAAAAAAACTTACCAAAAATTGTTCAGAAGCAAAGCCATTACTTTAGGGGTGTTTAATACTACTTGTATTGAGAATTTAGATCTCTTAAGGGATGATTATAAGTGCACCGAATGACTATTATTATTATTATTATTATTTAATGAAATATCCCTTCCCCATTCCCAAAAAAATAAAAATAAATAAACAATTTAGGAAAAATTAAAAATAATAATCTCAACTTTCATCAATTTTGGTAGATTATATTGTAATAATTCGAACTTTAGGGGTCTTCTTTTTTCTTCAATCCCTAATCGTTCAAAAAAAGTCAATGACCTAATATATCAGGTCACTTGACACGTGTCAAGCCCTGATTGGTCCAAAAAAAACAAGAAAATCGGATAAAACCAATGACCAACCTCCCCTCCCCCACCGCCCCACCCACCACCACTGCCCAGTCCGCCAACACTCCTTTTATGATCGCCGAAAAGCTAACGCTGGACCGTTGCTCTTCCCATGCATCGCCACTTTCCCTCTTCCCTGAAATCCCCTCTAACCCCCCCACCCCGCACAACGACCACAAAAAACCCCTTTCCCACTCCCGAAAAACCCCAAAAAATCCTCCTCTACCGCGAACCCTAGTGGCTAGGGTTTTTTATGGTGGTGGGAAGGGTGTTTGGTGGTTTTCGGGAGTTGGGGAGAGTTTTAAAGGGAGTTTTGAGTGGTGGTGGTCACTTAAAAAGGAGTTTTTGAGTGGTGGTTGCCGACAGAAAAGGAGGGGAGGAAGGTGGGTCGCATCACTGGCGTCGGGGGAGGGGGGAAACCGGCGTTCGGCGAGGGGAGAAATCGGCGCAAAGGGAAGGGGAGTAGCAGCAGCCGCCGACGGCTAGGTTTGGGTGATCGGATTCTGGGTTAAGTTTTTTTTTTTAATAATGCTTTTAACCAATTAACTCGTGACACATGTCACTTAAAAAAAAAACTCATTCAACCGGTAACCGATATTTGGGAAATTTGGATTGAAACCCTCAAAGTTCGGATTATTGCAATACAATCCAAAGTTAGAGTAATTATTCTACTAAAATTGATGAAAGTTGGGTTTATTATATCTATTTTTTCCAACAATTTATAAAATCTTTGATATTTGAGAAATGGAATGATAAAGAAAACGGATTTTTCACCAAATGCCGCTGATTATTTTTTTATTCACCATATTCCCATGAAAATTTTCAAATTCACCGTATACACTTGAGTTTCACAAAAATGTCACCAAATGCCCTTAATGACTTACGACAGTTAATTCCGTTAGTCATTAAGGTTAATTATACCACGTGACAGCATGTTATTGGTTATTTTTAAATAAATAAATTAATTATTTTAAAAAGACTTAAGATTTTTTTTTTTAAATAACAACAAAAACCACAAGTAACCCCCATACCAGCGAACCACCTTAGCCCAGCCACCTCCCCACAGCCGCCACCTAGACCAATTTCCCTATCGCTGACGCCTACACCACCTCCTCACCACGCCGGCACCGGCAATCCCCTCAACAATACCCTCTCCCTCCACTTCAACCGTAAAAACCCCTTCTCGAGTTCCTACTTTAGCCAAATATCAAGAACCCACCCTGAAACATCATCCCCGGCAGCCAGCTAGTCCCCTCCCCCACGTTTGTCATTCGCCGCGCCGGAGCCCGGAGCCCAGCCCCCTTTCCCCACGTCGTGCAGTCCACCTTAGCCACAAACAGCCACCCCGAAACCCTAAAAATCAAAATCAAGGGTTTTGATTTTGGGGTTTTTTATTTTAGGGTTTTGACAAGGTGGTTCACTGGATGGAGATGGCTAGGGAAGGGGCGGTTTGAGTTTGCCAATGTAGGGATGGTAGTTTGGACGACGGCGATGGGGAGGGGAGGAGTTTTCGAGAGAGAGAGGAAGGGATTTTAAGATTGGGGAATGAGTTATTAGTGGGAAGCCGACTAGTGGTGTGTCGAGTTAGCGATGTCGTCAACGTCGGGCGTGGGAGTTCAGGCGAATTTTGCGTCGGCAAGGGTAGGGTGGCGGCTAGGGTTGGGCTGTGGTGGGTGGGTTTTTTTATTTAATTTATTTTTATTTTTTGATAATTAATTATATTTATTTTAAAATTTAAATATTATAAATGACAGCCAATCATAAGCTGCCACGTGGCAAATTAAGCCTAAATGGGTGGAAAACATTTTTTGTAAATTCAGGGGTATATGATAAATTTGAAAATTTTCATTAGTATATGATGGATTTAAAAAATAACTCAGCATCATTTGGTGAAAATTCCGTAAAGAAAAGTAATACGCCCTGCTCCCCTGCCCATTATTGGACGATTGTATAAAATTCTGTCCATTTATTTATGGAAAAATTGTCATAAAAAATAAAACCTTTGGGCGATTGTTTTTAAACAAGACAACCTTTTGATTGTATCTGAATAATTCAACCTTTGAGGGGTTGTAATTTTAAACAGGTCATAACCGGATATAACCCAATAAACAAGTTACAATGCTACATGTTGTCGTGTGATTGGCTTAAAAATTATTTCAATCATATATTTATTAGTTGAAGAAAAAATAAGAGGAAAAAAAAATTATCCTTCCCCTACCATGGCCACCAGTGTTCTCCTTCCACTACTCAACCATGTCCACCGCACCATCACTCCCCCACACCGCAACACCACCATTGTCTTGCCACCACTTTACCCCACCTAGACTACTTGAAATCCCTCCTCATTCACCCAAAACCCAACCACAAAGACGGTGAGGTGGGTTTGTTATGGCTTCTTGGTTGCGTAGGGATGGTTTTTATATGGTGGTTGACAGGGGCGGCTGGCTATGGGCTAATGTGGGGGTTTCTTGGTGGTGAGATTGATGGTGTGAGGCAAGTGAGGGGAGGGGAGGTGCAGCTTTGACTGATTATGGGGGAGGCGGTGGTACGGTGGTGCCATGAGAAGGGAGGTGAGAAAAATAAGTTTTTAATTGTAATTTTAAAAATCAAAGTTCAATTTTTTTTTTAAAAAAAATTAATTAATGTAGACAAATTATATGGAGACACATGTTATGAGCTACCTGTTTAACAAGTTATAAGTTTTTTAACTTGTTTAAAATACAACCCCTGAAAGTCTGTATTATTCAAGTATAATTAAAAGGTTGTCTTGTTTAAAAACAATCGTCCAAGGTTGTATTATTAATGACAATCTAATATATATACATATATATATATAAGGAAAAATGGAAAAGAAAAATCCAACCTTTGCACTTTTTCCTTACAAAAATCCAACCTTTATACCCCTCATTCCCCAACAGGTCCATTACCTGTTGATGACCGGTTTTTCTAAGCTATATGCCACGCGCAAGCTATTAATAGGTTAATTATTTATTTAATTATTAAAAAAAAATTAAAAGAAAAAAAAAGAGCAAAATCCCTTTTCCACCACCACCACCTTCTCCTGCCACCACTCCCTCTCCCTTTCCCTCACCTGTGCGCCCAACGAAAACACAACACACACCACCACCACCTTCCCCTGCCACCAACACACACACCCAACCACCAACAAAACCGCACATCCACCAACTCCACCGCCCATCCACCAACACACACGCCCAACCACCAACTCCACCGCCCAGCCACCACCTCCAAACCCAAACCCCGCTAACCGCCCAATCGCCAAAAAAAATCCAAAAACCCCCTTTTCCATCACTACACCTCCCTTTTTCCGACACATCAACCACCTAAATCACCCACCTTCGATTCCCTTAACCTTGAAACCCTCCCTACCTGAAATCTAGCCCCTAAAAACCTTCTCGATCTGCCTGAATGTCACCCTTCGCACTTTTTCGATCCGTCACTACCACCACCACCACCTTCTCCTGCCACCAACACACTTGCCCATCCCACCCTTCGCAAATCGCAAGCCCTAACCCCATGGAGGAAGAGGTGAGAGAGAGATAGAGAGGGAGAATGAGAGTGAGGGAGGGGAGGAGAGGTGAAACGGCGGTGATGAGCGGTGGTGGCGGAGGTGGGGTTGGTGGTTTCAGTGTTTGAGGTGAGAGGAGAGAGAAAGAAGAGTGAGATGGAAAATGAGAGAATTAAAAAAAAAAAATCTTTTTTAACCTGTTTATTAGGTCACAGGTAAAATGGACCTGTTGGGAAAGGAGAGGTATAAAGGTTGGATTTTTGAGGAATAAATTGAAGGTTGGATTTTTGTAAAGACTGGATTTTTCTTTTCCATTTTTCCTATATATAAAGGGGAGTTTTTTCCCGAGTTTTTAGAGACCCACATAGGATCTAATTTTTTTCAGCTCGCCATGTAGGATGATAAATTTTAGTGGTAGCTAATTAAATATGAGATTATTAATTTCTTTTAGAATTAAATAATTTAAATGATACGTAAATAAAAGTGGCGAATGAGATTTTCCAATTTAAATTAATTAAATATAAAATATTATCATTTTATATTATGAATTTATCCAAATATATAACAAATTTTAGCATATAAATATATATAAACATATTTTAAAAAATTCAAACAAATCATATAATCCATTATTTATTAGACAGATATAATCCATTTATAACTGTGGCAGGTCATATGCCCCTACGGCCTTACCTCTCTCAACGTTCTCCATTGAAGCGCAGTCGACGTTCTCCGTTGAATCTAATACTTGTGTTCCCCCATTGAAGCAGCTTCTGAGGTAAGTTGTTTGTTTTTGTTATCATCATATCAATTTCTCAATCTAGGGTTTAATCTAATTTAATTTTCAATGCATTAAGTGTAGGGTTCGAAAATCTCAACTATTGATGCTAAATTCCAAGATAACCAGCGATTATTTTACCAGAAAACAAAATTATGAGCCTAAAATTATGTGATTATTTGAGATAATTGAATCAAATTTGGTTGCTAATGTATTGCACAACCCTTTAATGTTAGGATTCAACTATGAAATTATTAGAAGTCACAAACTTATGGGACCTTTATTTTCTTTATCGATTCCAAACCCACATTTCGGAATTTCTGGATACGTCACTGTGAATGACTGAATGGCACGTAGTCAATGAGAACTTATGATCATGGACTGTTGAAGGAACTTATGTTGATTCATGTAATTATTTTGCCCCTTGTGAATCTGAGCAAGCAAAGAATTTTGGTGTTTCAGCTCCTCCTTCGTCGCCTAACAATGGATTCATTTTTATGGTAGGATCACATTTTGGACTTAGCATTAAGTGAGTTGCTGCCATGATAGGAAGTGCCCGTGTTCGGCTTAGTGGTTGGCAGCAGGCTGCAGTTGCTCTTGGTTCAGCTGTTGGTGCACTAGTTGATCCACGAAGAGCTGATCTCATAGCAGCCTTGGGAGAGACTACTGGAAAGCCTGCTTTTGAAAGGGTTCTTGAAAGAATGAAAACAAGTCAAGAGGGTAAAGTAAGTCTTGTGCTCTTTTTTTGAATTTCTATATTTCTATCAAATATGTACCTCTTTTAAAAATCATTATATCTTATATGGGCGAAACCATTAGTTGTGTTTATCGAGTTTTGTTGAATTATATTTATGTATGTACCTTAGTAGTAATACTATTACTTGATTTTTATGATCATAGTTTTTGCATTATAGCTGTATCATGTATGCCTTTGTGTAGACATTACAAACATGTCCTCTTCTTTGTTTGAAGTGTATAATAAGGATCTATTGCAGTTCCATCTTGAACAACTCCTCACGTAAATTGGTTTGCATCATATTCTCTAGATTTTATTTTAGAACAGTATTGGCAAGTAATACTGTAATAGCACCCTCCTTTGAAATTGACAAATTACCAAGCTTTATCGTGCTAAGAATATACTGAATTTTCTGCATGAAACATGCAGCAAAATGTTTTTCCATGGTTTGAACATTTAACTTATTGCTACTTTGAATTACTGTGTAGCACCCTTGTTTGAATTTGACAAATTACCACTATAGAGATAATTTACTAACAATTTTCTGAATGTTATATACTTTTTCTCATATATTTATCGACGTTTGTGTAATATGATTGTAGAAGGTATTAATTTAGTTATCACACATATTTGACGACTTGGCGAGTCCCTAACTTTGTTGTTTTGTGAGTGTCTAACCTACTTGAGCTGTCGGGGGGTTTCTGTTTTCCTGTGTGCTGAAGTTCGGTTCATACTATGCAATTGAAGTATTGGCGGTGTTAGAACATTAAACCTGACAATTATTATATCATAGACCATCACATAGGCTCTGGCACCCAGCATATATCTGACCGTTCAGGCTTCAGCAGTTCAGCCTCATGATAAAATCAATGGTGTAGTAATTAATCCCTCATCTCCCCAACTTCGATGCCTTGGCTTTCATTGGAGGCTTAATAAGAAAGTTTCTATTTATTACTATTGGCAATGTATATGACTTGAACTTAATTTTGTTGATATGATTTTATTTACAGGCAGTTCTCTTGGAAAGGCCACGAGTTATATCTGCAAATGTTGGGCATGCATGGGACCTCCCTGAAAACACATTTGGGGCTGCATATGCCAAGTTCATGGGATCAAGGAATTTTTCACCAGATGATAGACCACCTGTACGGTTTTTGGACACTGAAGAGTTAGCATATGTGGCTATGCGGGCTCGAGAGGTGCATGACTTCTGGCACACTCTCTTTGATCTTCCCACAAACTTATTGGGTGAGTCAGCTCTGAAGGTAATAGAGTTCCAACAAATGCATCTTCCAATGTGCTTCATGTCAGTCATAGGAGGTACAGCAAGATTCAACTCTAAACAGAGATCACTTTTCTTTGAGCATTACTTACCCTGGGCCTTGCGTGCTGGAATGAACTGCACTGATTTGATGTGTATATATTATGAGCGCCACTTCGACGAGGATCTGGATGTTATTCGGAAAAAATGGGGGATCATTCCTGCTCCTCCCCTTGTTGCTAAGGTTTGAAATAATATATGGCCAAGAGTAACTTTTGTTTAAGACTTTTGATTTCCCCTCATATACCTATGTTAAATCCATCGCGCTGACATTGGCACTTGACAGTTGACAATTATTTAGGACCAAACCATGGAACAAACTTGTAATGTGTACCCAATACCCATGTCTGAGTGAATGTGTCCGGGCAAACATAGAAACGGAAAGCATGTGTAGTGTAGTGTTACCCGGAGTATGAATCTGAAGCTCAAAGGTTCATCTTTGGATTTGTAGTCATAGTAAGACAACTAGAAATCTTTGTTTTAGTATACTGAACACAGCAACCTGAGAGTCCAGGAGTGGCCTTTTTCTCCCACTTTGCAGGGTATTATTAGCTACAAGTCCAGGAGACATGCAGTATCCATTTGATTAGCATTATGGATTAGCAGCCGCTTTAGGCCTCAATTTTTCAACAAGTGCTGCTATAAACAGTAAATTGAATTTTTGAGTGTTGTGTTTGTCCAATTTTTCTCTACTAAATTCAGAGTGATATAATTGTTACTTCATCAGGTTAAACGTTCTGCTCCGTTGATCTAAATGATAAGCGGCAAGACATGCCCATGATATTTGTTATTCATTCTTCAACATGTGGTCACCTGGTCAAGAAGGATCGATATGATGCAACTATGCAGGATATGCCAGGAAAAGAAGGTTTAACGGTTGTAGCCTATCTGGTAGATTTTGCCCAATATCTGCTTCTTGATTTGTTGGTCATCCTTTGTAGTTTGTAGGAGGGCCAACATCATGTGTACTTGCTTAGTTGCTTTAGTACGAGGAATTAAGATCTTCGGGATCAATTTAGATGAAATGGTTCACTACCACTTTTCTTTAAAGGATGGTAAGTACCAACTGCCATAATAAGGGTGGAACTTATCAAGGGAAGTTTACTTGTTATGTACTCCAATACTCCCTTAATTGAAGTATAGGAACTACGTATTGTAATTCTTAGGCATCGTGTTGGTTGCAGCAATAAATATATGAAGTAATTTTTTTTTTTTTTTTTTTCATTTTATATCTTTGGAATAATACTTACCACTTTACTAGTGCTAGTCATCAAGTTATTGGAGCAAATCTTTTTTGGAAACAAGTTTTCCATTTTGAATTAAGTACGTACGTACAACGGTACAAGTATGAAATAATACGAAGTACAATGTTAGAATTTGTTCGATTTATTTGGTTAATAATCTTGAATTTAAAAGGCAAAAGCTAATGAACGCCCCCGGAGCGTTAGATAAGAGAATTAAAGTGCAAATATTAGAGTAAAATTACACCGAATGACGCGTGATTTTGTCAAAAATTTCTAACTTAATAACATTTCAACCAATATAATTTATCCTTATCTAACGCCCCGGGGCGCTCATTAGTAAGATCGATTTTAAAAGCAGGCTTTTAATTGTTCATTTTGAAAGTTAGAGTATAAGGTGCGAACTTTTGGAAGATCTACAATTGATAGGCTCACACAAGTCACAAGAGTTGGCAATGTAAAAACCTTTGATTCTTGGCTACAATGAAGAGTAGGAACAGTAATTCCTTCTTTTAAAGCATTAACAGATTTAGTTTTCAATTGAAATTCTCAGAAAACCAGCAATCTCCAGCTTACATTACATATAATCCACATTTAATTTTAGCATCAACACAGCAGAAGAGAATAGCAACATCCTTTGAAGAAAGAACTCAACACTTGGATATCTATATTTGAATTGGCGGTCATTATAGTTACTGTTTACTATCACCAGGTCCACCAAATAGATAACCTAAAGAAGATCCACCACCTGGGGCATTATGAACCTTGGTTGAAGGTCGGTCCTGCATCCAATAAACCAAGATTTCTTAATCACAGCTAATGCTAAGAGTTATGGTAAATTAACAAGATACACACCGCAAGAAAGGCGAATTCCAATCTGACTGTTTTACTCAATGCAAAGGTACTTGGCATTCATCAATCTTAATTTATACAACCAAACAAGTTCATTTCCAAGCTAGTGAGAATTCAGGCTAATTATATATTAAAATGTCCCAAAAACACAAGGCGGCCAATGCTAGTGACAAACAAGTATCTTCCAGTCTTTCCAGCTAATCTTCGAACTATTCAAAGTCTTAAGAAATTAGTTTTTAACAATAGAAAAGCTCTCCAGTACATTATTTCTTTTTCATTGTTTTAACAACCGACAATTCTAAATTAATTTTTTTTTTTTTTTTTATATACATAATCCCTGTTTATATATCCCTAGTATATATGCTTATCATCAACTTTCTGCAGAATGCGCACAATTCAATAACAAAGAGCAAACAAGGTATTCCCTTAACTTTTGGGATCACCAATCATATTCAAAGAGTTAAACAAGTAGATTGATAGTAAATTCCCAAGGCAAGTGGTTATTATATTTGCATAGAATTTTGGAAGGAAAATATCTATTGCAACAGTCATACCGTGATGAAATTGCCAGTATTCTGTCCATCAGCACGGTGGTAATTATTTATGTTACTATTAACTCCAGCAGGAACCTTCTTGACATTGGTAGGCTGGGAGTTAGAAGCAGCAGCAACAGGCTTTGGTGCTTCTTTCACAACCGGTTCTGCGCTAACATTGGCTGGAGCTTTAGCAGCAGCAGCCTTATGAGCCTCTCCATTTCCAAACAGATAACCCAATGAACTCTGTCCACCTCCACTGCTGACACCACGTCCCATTAGAAATGAACTCCTACAGTGACCAATTGTTAACGAGTTAAGAATCAGAGTGGAATAAAATTGCTGCAACGTGATATCACAAGATGATACGTGAACAAATAGGAAAAGAAAACAACTAAACAAGCATAAGTACAGCAATAGAAAACAACAGTGGCTGAAATAGTCCAAATTCATAAACAACAAAAGACCTATGTATTCTTTGTTTTAACTCTACGCATCAGCCTTTAACATTGTGCTTGAAAATTGATAAATAAGTTGACTCTACTTACTGTGCCAAAGCATGTTATATCAAAATTTTGTTCTGAATGATCGACAAGTATGCTCAAATCCTCCAAAGAGTGAAAAGGGTGTCAGTGGACAGGATACTAAAATACTATAGAACACTTGAACACAAATGAGTAGAAGACTATCATATTACTGCCAATTTATAAGACAGTAAAAATTTCCACCTCAATCAATTCTAAAGCACACTAACTCAAATAAGCAATCTATGAGAACAAATTGGTGTGTGATAATGGGTGGCCAGCGATTTAGTCCAAGTCTGAAATCAGCACAAAGCAACGCGTGTTCAAGAATCATTCCATCGTATCTGTGAACGACTCACTCCTCGTAGTTGGGAAAATAAACCAATAGTAGATATCACCCCTTGTCCAAAAGTGAGGCTCTATTTGATTAAAAAGAGTGGCATAGGTAACAAATTAACACTAATAGTTTGAAATAGAAGTCTTTGGGATGATACCATGAACACCCAAATCGCGTCGAATAACACCCTCAATATCAAATATTTCAACCAATCCGAATACCTCACTGCACGCACCATCCACCTTCTCCGGTAACTCTATAGTAATCACTAATCACTAGTTCACTTAGCTAGCTAAGGCTATCACACTCGAGCACACGGTAAAGTATGTCGTACCAAACATCCATGACGGATCTACATTCTAGATCACACAAAACCACAAATGTATACCACAATAACCAAACAATGGTTATAATTAATATTCCAAAAATCAAATCAACTATGCATCGAACAGCAGTTTCATAATTCATTACAATCAAATTATACCAACAAATTAAAATTGCAAATTGATTTTCTTAACACCAACTCAATTCTCTCCAACAAGCAGTAAAAAATATTAAAATGAAATTCGAGATCTGCCCATTTTCTTTGAAATTCTACAGAACAATGGGAATTTCAAGTCATTTTAATTCCATTATACATGAAATTCACTTTAACATATGAGATCAATAGGGTAAATTTTGTAGGTTAAAATCAACAAAAAAAATAAAAATAAATAAATCATACAAATTCAATTATACAAACTGATGACCAATTAAAATGAAATATAAAAATAATAATAAAAAATCCTCGGGAAATCTAAAATGAAGAACACTAACAACATTTCAAACAAAATTCAACAATGAGCATTACAAATCTGAGAAAAAAAGGGGAAATAATTGAAGAATTAGGGTTAGGAATGGAATACCTGAGGCAGATCTGAAATGGAAGGAGGTAAGAGAAAAGAGAGCACTTTGAAAAAAAGAGAAGGTTACCTGAGGCGGCTGAGTCCAAAGATATTCAATTGGGGTTTTATATAACTTTTGTAACTCACCGAACCTAATTTGTCTTTATTAAAGATTTATGGAATAAATTAAAAAGCGATTGTTGTATATACTCGGATGTACGGTACATTTAAGTGTATATTTTTTTTTGTTACTTCATATTAGATGATATAAAATGAGCAATATTTATCGAAATGAGCAAAAAATACTCTTGGGTGTATAAAACAATTTTTATAAATTAAAGATTGACATATAAAATAGGTAAAGACTAGAATAGACCCGGTCTACAATAACTTATTGTAGACCCAACCTTCTAGTATACCATACGAATGTGATTATATCATACGAAATGTGATTATATAACTACAAAAGTGATTATATCATCCAGAAATTGTTATGTAAATGTATCACTCAAAAAGTGAATTTATCATTATAAAAAGTATCAAATAGTAAATTTTATCGTCCTAAAAATAATTATATAATCTCATTAAATGATTTAATATGAGATTATATAATTCAAAATATGACTCACAAAAAGATAATTATATCGTCTAAAAAAGTAATTATATCATCCAGAATGTGATTATATTATTTGAAAGTGTCAAATTTTGGGTCTACAATAATTTATTATAGATCGGGTCCATACAAGACCAATTGTTAAAAATATTCATCTGTTTCAAAATACTTTCTTCGTTTTTAAATACATTCATTACTCTTACTTTGTATAATTTGTAATTAGGTATGGAGTATTATGTTTATTATGATTTATGAGTGCAAATTTAATAACAATAATAACATTACGAAATAAAGGGAAACAGGGAATGTTATTACTCATTAGTATTAGGTCGGGATTCTTATTTGTACTGTCACACATATATTATATGAACATATGTGTTTTTGTATTATTTAAATTGTATTTGTACACTTTGTATGTTAGAAACGTGAAATTAACAAGTGCAATCTTATTAAATATATCTTGATGTGTACATCTCAAAAAATATATATATATATTTTTTTTAAAAAAAAACCCTTGATGTGTACACATACTTTAAAAGTATCAACTTTTTCATACAAAGTAACTATGATTGTAAGATTATTAAAAACATTAATGATATAGACCTTGCATCAACAAATACGAAGTATGAAACTTTAATTGATGTATAAAAAAAACTACTCCGTATAATACATTAATACACATATAATGATAAGAGTGATACAATTAATAACAAAAACTATTATTTTACGCGGTTAATATTTAAAGTACCCATTTAAAAAGAATCAAAATAAAAATGATTGAGGTTGTTCAAAGATATTTTGTTTGTCCCATTTGTTCATTATAATAGAGTAGGGTAAAAAATGAGTCTTTAATAATATATTATTATTATAAAATATGTATATATATACAGATATACTAATATATCGGTACAACCACGTATAATGTACGCCGTATACATCTTGGTGGGTGGGTCCATAAAGTTTATAAAATGATAAAAGTGGGTGGGAAAATAAATAATTTGAATAATTAAAAGAGGAAAATGGAGGTGGAATGAGCAACAAGAACGTGATGGTAGTAACTGTGAATGTATTTTAGTGGTAAATAGCAACTTGTTGTCACGTCAGATGTTGTCAACGACAAATATAAGATGCTCGATTTGGAAAGATATTAGATTTGGAGCTGGATTAAACTGTTGTATTAAGTAAAAATGACACTAAAGAATTGTAATTTATTTTTCAAATATATATAATTTTATTGAAATTTGACCAGATTCTTTTTTAATCTAATACTCAGTAGTTGTTGGTTGGTTTATATAGGAATTATAGGATATTTGATCCACATTAACATTGACAAAACCTTTAAATAACTGTGGGTTAAATGATACAAGAGTTTATATGTACACCCGGGTGTACCGTACACTCGGGGTAATTTGTTCATTCAATCAACAAATAAGTAAATAATATTATTTGTTCATTTATTGATTAAATGAGCTAATAACCCCAGGTGTATATAACAAATTTTAAAATGAGATGGTTTGATTCTTTTTTAGGTTTAAAGTGACTATTATTCAAAAAGAGATATATTCCCATAGTCCCATTCCAACAAAACCAACATAAAGTTCTTCAACCATGATATTTTGTTTTAAATATTACAAATTTAAAATTTAAAAATTCAAAATTGAGTTTATCTAAAGTATGAAGCCACATAATAGTGGCCAACATACTGTCATGTCAAGTAACCTTGGATGTGTCGGCAACAATTCCTTTCAACTCAACGACCAGATGGTGACAATCCATTCAACTCACAATTTGCATTAACATTTGCATTGCATGCATTTTAACTTATATTAATGCTTAAATATTCAGATGCCCATTGCCCTTTAATCATGCACCTTTCAACTAGCACACCGCCAAAAAAACTGAGGAAAAAGACAATGCTCTTATAATTGTATGTATTTAGACCATATTGCATATTGTTACTGCATCATAGTTACAATACAAGGATAATCTTACTAAGTTAACGATTCGTTAATGGTCTCGTCAAGGGAACCTGTAATCCTTCCTGCAGTTTGAATTCTGAAGTCTTTCGTAGAGTGATCCAATTGAATAAATCAATCACTGTCAATATACTGTCCTTTTGATCTGATTTTCCATGTAACTGCACCATTGAACATACCATATGCCCTCAGCCCCTTGCAACAGAAAATAGCTTGAGAAATGTGCGACCTCACACTCCCATTGAGGCATTAACACTTGAACAAATTTGATTTCCACGAGCTATAAGTGAATGGGTCATGCAGTGTCCGACAAGTGCAAAAGCTGGCAAATTCTTGGGCAGAAGATACCTGTTGCCACTCTAGTTGTCTGATGTAGCATAATCCACTGCTTCTCTGTGAGGGGAATGAGAAACAAATGTACGTGAGTAATAAAAGTAATAGCTTGAGTATACACTATGATGAAGATTATCAATGCAGACTAACTGATTTAGAAGCGCCAGCAATGAATAAATCTCTCTCCCTAGTCCCAAAACTTTTGGCATGGGGATAGCTAGTATAAGAGAGATTAATTTCTAAGATTTTAGAATAGCCACACTTTCAGAACTGAGTTATTGCTAGTGAAAATATCGGAAAGGTGGATACAATGTTATAATAATCATTAATAGATACCTATATTTGCAAAGTTTAGCTTTATAATATGGATATACTAAAGCCAACCATCATAGATCGTCTATAGAAAGCTGAAAGCAATTCAATAAACAATCATAAAACATCTGCGCTGATCATAAGAAGTAACAGGCCCCTGGCTGATGGGCCTGTAATTGCAATAATCAGACTGAGTTGTTAATCAGCATAGAGGACAGTTGTACATCAAGCTTTGGATGAGTATAGGGAGAAAGCCCAGAAAGGTAAGTCCATTACCGTGAAGCTCAAGACCCAGAATTTAAATTAACATATTTCAGACCAGGCAAAGCTCAAAGAATCAATAACACAACAGCAGGGTAAAAAGGTATTCAATGTGCGATAATATTCATAGTTCTGACCTTTTCGTAATTTGGTACAAATGTTAATCTTGTCTGGCATAGAAATGAGGAGCCAGCTCTGTTAACCACATGGGGTCAATTCTCGTAACATCGCGGATATAGTTCTGATTCGTCCTGACCAATTCATTGAATATTATGCAGTCTGGTTTTGCCCGAAACAACACAGAAGTTGGGTGGATTTGCACCATCTGACTGCTTGCCAAAGCCCTATACCCAAAATGATATAAGAAGTAAGCTATCAATGCTCAGGATTGCTATATGGTATAAATAAGTAAAGCGAGATGATGGAAGACAAAGTCCACCATTTAAAAGACAATCTATAAAACTTTTTTTTTTTTTTAAAAAGCTACCCTCCTCATCCCATAATTAGTGCCTTTTTGGGCGTTATTCTAAAATCCTAACAATGTCCTCCATTTAATCTTTTTTTATTACCAAATTGCCCTCATAAACTAATGTCATCCTAACAATGTCTTCATTTTACTTTGAAAGTACAAATTATTAATATATTGATTATTTTTTTCTTTATTAAACTAATGTTAGGAAGCATATGAAATATATGGATTTGCATGAGGATGAAGCATTGGATCTTAAGGGATGGAGGAGGAAGATTTTTGTCGATGACTACACAGAATAATCAACTTTGGTTCATGTAGCTGACTCCACTTATGGGATTAAGGCTTTGATTGATTGATTAATCTCAATATTATGCATGGTTAATTGTTCAACGTGCATTACCGAGTAACATCAATCTCAACAAGCTTTAATTATATTCCTAGGAAACAAATTAAAGATTTAACTAAATAAAACTGTTGCACTATTATCAGTTAGTTTTATAAATTACTCCGTATAATTTTATACTCCACTTTTTCTGATTCTGGCGCATAAGAAATTACCGGGGTACATCAATCTCAACAAGCTTTCATTAGATTCCTTGGAAACAGATTAAAGAGTTAAGTAACCACAACTGTTGCACTATTATCGTTTAATTTTTATAGATTATAATTTTATACTCCACTTTTCTTAATTCTCGTGAAAAATGAGAAAATGAGCACTATATTAGGGGAATAAGGGAGTAAAATATACTTCCAATTTTCCAAGAGAGTAAGACAAAGCGATAGGGAAAAATACTTGTCGAGAGATATACCTATATGTACCATCAGGCTGTTTCAAAGCAGCATTAAGAAAAAAGGAAGCTGCAAGGCATCTGCGAAACAGAAGCATATCCTCTCCACATGAAGCAATACGAAGACCCATTTGCTTGACATGGTCTCGAATTTGGCTGCATTCAATAACACAGTGTAAGAAGCCGAACCATGAAATTGAGAGCACAAGGTTGTGAAATGATGTCCATATATATCAGGCATTGAGACCACCAATTAGTTATTTGGAGACAATAGACACAATTAAATTGGTAAAAGTAAAGATGAGCATTCTCCTTATTGCAAAAGAGTATATACTATATAGCAAATGGTTTATGCACGTTATCGAATTCACAGCATGATCTCATGAGCTTCTACAGTTGACCAAATACAGAGAGAGGCAGTTTGGAAAAGTAACATCAATAAACTGATCTAATAATACCTCAAGCAGATTATTTTCAGATTATTGGACCCAGATAATGCATCTGTCCTCTCACAATATGCTTTGAGAGAAGAGCCATACCTGTGTACATCACGAGCATGTCTAAGCGAGCGACCATTTACAAAGTTCTCTTTGCACCATTTCTTCATATTCTTGAAAGTTTTCTCCTTGCTGCTGTTAGCATTGCCACTCTCCAAGAACTCATCACATGATTTATACACATTAATCAAGGTTATGTGGTCTCCTTCAGGACTTGAAAAACGTTTGATAGCAGTCCTAGCCTGGCCATGAGATCATCAGGATATAAAAGTTGATATAAATTTATATATGTAAAGAGATGCGTCAAAAGGAAACATTTAATACCAATAAAATAACATGAATATGTGTAGAACTTGTGTTGACTTTAAAACTCCATTACTAAGCAGCATTTTTAAGAAACTACAAATTTGGCAATTATTTTTGTTAAGTTTCATGCATGCTTTGTTTCAGATACAACCTTTTAAAGAGCTAAAGAGATAATGCACTCCACACCCCACCTCAGAAATAAGCCACACTGCGAATACCTTTTTTTAAAAAAAAATTAAAATTAAAATTTGATGTCCATTATAGCGCTGTCGGTCAGTCAACGATTTCTAAGATTTAGTACCATAACTAGGGGTGATGATGAGCTGAACCGAGAATGAGTCAGAGCAGGCTCGATTCAATGATATCTATATTCTTTCTTTATGAAGTACATAAGCTATCGTTTCACTTTACTAAACCAATGCGGGACTTAAAGATTCAAGGAAAAAAAAACACCCGAGCCCATTCACGAGCTTTAGAGCCGAGCCAAGGATAGATTGGGCTTTGCTAATAAAGATCCGAACTAAGCCTTGACTGAACTTAGAGCTAAGCTTCATTAGTTCATGGCCAGGCTCCTAACGATAATAATAAGTTACAAGCTCCAGTAGTTGATGGCCAGACTCCTAACAATAATAATTATCTGAGCTATACGTTACAATAACTGCCAAGGAATAATGGACAAGCCAGCAATTCAGTATATCAGCATAAAGCCTCTACAACCACCACAGTAGAGCCATTCACTATGCCACACTTGAATTATTATACTCTGTATTAAAATACAATACATACAATAATGTTCCAAACTGGTTTAACATCCATACCTCTTCTTGCTTTTCACGTGGTGTAAAAAAAATTGATTCAACAGAGAGCACTGAGACAGCTATCAACATTTCTTCCAAGCAGTTGAATTGGCTAGACAAAATGAGAGCCTTAGAATAAATTGGATCCAATGGAAGTTTAGCCATCTGGTTCCCAATAGGATCTGAAAGCTTATACTCCTCTGTTAGAGCCCCAAGCAAGAATAATTCTTCCAGAGACTTCACAATTGCCATCCTGCCCAGATGTACAAGGACCATCCAAAATCATAAGGCTCCATGATTCCTCAAAGAACACAAGTCATACATTCCATTTTGACTTTCCCCAGAGAGAAAAAGAGGGAGGGGGGGGGGGGGGGGAGGGGTGGAGAGTTTAGAGATTGATTGCTAAAATCTTAACATAAATAAAGGACCATAATGTAGAAAAAAATAAAGCATTGTAAGATTTATACCAAACTATTTTGTTAACAGTATATTTTGTATAAGATATGTTTACAAGGACCAGCCAAAGTTAGTGTTGAACTGTTGATTACAAATTACTGCAGGAAGTCTAATGGGGTGGCAAGTTAGCCCTTTGGCTTAAAAAAATTAAGGAGTTGAAGATCCTCATGTATGTAAACATATCAAATTAAACAATCCAGCTAAGATAACCAATGAGTATAAACTCGAAGACTTCACTTTTGTTCTGTTATAGAAGAATAGAAAGCAATACCAAGAAAGCCAAGTGACACTTTTTACAAACCATGCACAACCAAATCAATTTCCATAAGAAACTAATAACATTTATTCAGTTAATCAATAACAGAAACATAAGAACCATTAGAAAATAACTGTGAAGTACATATTGGCAAAATACTCACAAGAACAAGGATACTCATAAAAGTAACCCTTTTAACTGATACCATAGCATAAAAGTAAGAGAGAGTTGAAAGGTGGCTGGTCGTATGAAAAAGTAAGAGAAACAATGTACTCCCTCCGTCCCATAATCACAGGCAAATATACTATTTTGGGTGTCCCAAAATGTTCCTCCTATTACTAAAAATAACACCCAATCATTACTTACTTTTTACCTTTTCCATACAAATTACACACATACCTAAAAAATCATTACCTACTTTTTCACTTTTTCATACAAAATACACACATACCTAAAAAATCATTACTTACATTTTAACTTTTCCATACAATATTCTCTACTTTTTATCAACATTCTTCACTTTTTAGCTATTTCATACAATATTCCTCTATTTTTCCATCCTCCTTAAAAACCGTACTTTTTAGAGTTATTTGCCTGTAATTATGGGACGGAGGGAGTAGATAGGAGTAAATATTGAGGGGTAAGACCGTAAGAATTATAGGATAGTAAAGGGGGTGAGCCAAAATAGGACAAAGTAGAAGCAAGTAGAATATTAATTAAATAAAAAAGAAAGGAAAGAAAAAGAGACCTAAACAGAAAGTGAGTAGAACAAAAAAAAAGGTAGCATAATACACACATATATATCGGTCCTTACCGTGAAGGTTTTTCCATGAAGTCAAAGCCAATAATATCATCAATGCCTAGAGCTTTGAGCTGTAAAATGACATTTGAGAGGTTGCATCGCTTGATTTCTGGCACCGTGGAGTCAGCAAGTTTCTCAAATTCTCTCTCTGTATACAGGCGGAAACATTTACCCGGTCCTTCCCGCCCTGCACGTCCACTGGGAAAGTAAAATTACCAGTTCAGAACTTCAGATAACTGTTCAATAAATTCCGTTACTGACATGACCTAGCTTTAAATACTCTATCTCTATCTTCCTAAGAAGAAGAAGGAGCTTTCACAAGATAAAAGAAAAAGAACCCACCCCGAACAAAGGCCAGTTGGCTAGATAGTAGATACTGACATTTAGTCACCAATAAACGCATTACAGCCAACGGAAACTAAGAGCTTAGCTGCTTAGTAATGAAAGAAATCAATTTTTTTAATAGAAAAGGAAACTAACATAGGTTGGTCCTTATCAGGCTTAGCTGTGATGGCATGGTTTGGTCTTGGTAAGGTGTGGGCATTTGGGGATACCCTGATATGAGGCCCACCAGTGTAGGCTGTGAATAGGCTAGGGTTTCGGGTAGGACTGTAGGAGGCATGACATAACCCAAAGCCCCAAACTTAGCAAGAACAGGTAAACTGATTAGGACAATGCACTGCCCAACATGGTGTAGGCCTTGCTTGTGGCCCACATCTGACCAACCTCCAGACACAAAAGGCCTGACAAAGTCCACTGCCATGCAGCACTGCTATCCAGCATGTATCCAAGTGCCCAACAACACTATATGCATACTAGAATATGATGCTTGGAATAATAGATTCCGGGCACAAGTATTTAGAAAGATTGTGGACCCAACTCAGAAGGAGAATTGGGGGAGCTTTATTCGGAGACAAACATTTTGTGAGAAATGAGAACTTTACTTAGGGGAGGGAGGATATTAGCAGGTGGAATTTATTCAGAAGCCAGAATGACATTAAATGATGATAATTTCAATTAATCTTATTGCAATAAATAAGACAGTAACAACACTAGGGTTCTGAGAAGCAATCATCTCTGATGATGGAACTAAAAACACAATTTTTATGTCTAAATCACAGTAACTGCTTGACCAAGGCAACATTCATCTTGGTGGCCTTACCTCCTTTGAAGAGCTTGTGCTTTTGAAGTAGGAATAATGCTTAATGATTCTATCCCTGTACGTGGATTATAGTTCCGGGCTTTGACCACTCCAGGGTCTACAACATACTTGATTCCCGGTATTGTGACTGACGTCTCAGCAATGTTTGTTGCTAGAATTACCTAGATAAGAAAAGGTAAATTAGGATTTTGAACACAAGGTGTCATGTTGGTATAAACAGGAGTTGCACAATCAGCACAAACTATGCATAATTAAAGATACAAACATGACCACTTCATTATTCATTATTTATAAAGTATTGAAGCTAGAGTCTACACCTCTATGGAGTAAATTTCTGGGCTAACTTTGCAGCCTGACCAGATCATCCTACAGCAATATATGCAATAATAGTGATTTTAACAGTAACAGAAACTGATGTTGGACTGAATCATAGTGGCTTTTAAGTCCAAAACTTCGGAGAATTGTGATATATTCTGCAGCAGATCCATGAGAATCACAGCAAAGTGTATTCCTTAAGAAACGTAACTACACAAGTCAGCAGCAAAGTGTCTTGTTATATTTTTTCCAGGAATACTTCATCACCTAAGCCTTAAACAGCAGAATGCTGCATCACAATTAAATTAAATTAAGTTGAATGCGTTACAAGTTACAACAAATTCTTCTTTTATTTCCATACCTGTGCCAATACAAGATACTCAGACATGGGTAAAGCACCTAGACACTTCATTTCGGGCCACATATATTACTCAAACCAATCGTAAATGGCTGTATCTGACAGTTCTAACAGAGCAAAGTAACACAGCCTACAACTAAAACTGTGCAGCACAAGATTAAAACCGCACTGTAACTATAAGAGCTTGGAAAAGCTTTATCAGTTTACTAACACACACTTCAATAGACATGCTTTAATTAAATCCAGCACAAGTTCTTTTAAATTTTTTACATTAAAGTTATAAATGGTTCTATCCTCTATGAATAAAATTGTAGAGGGAATTCTAAGAGTCAGCTTAATGTACCTTTCGAAATCCGTCTGGCGCAGGCATAAAAGCTTTCATTTGCTGTTCTGAGGGAAGAGACGCATATATAGGAACAGTTACAATATTTCGATTGCCTTCAGGTAATTGTGGCAATTTGTCCCTCACAAGTCCTTCTACGGATTCAATCTCTTCTTGACCAGTCAAAAATACAAGTATATCACCAGGAGCCTCCTCTAAATGAATCTAAATATATAAAAGACATGATCCAATGAAATACATAGCAACAAACAGAACATATGGGGTTAAAATCAATGTGCAGAAATAAGTAGAATGTGGCAAGCTCAAAGTTGGCCCAAATGTATAAAAAGGCTCAAGGCGCACCATGGCGAAAAGGATTTCCCTGCGCCTTAGGCACGCCTCAGTGCGTCTCATTGAATTGAGGCACACTTATAAAATAGTGAGAGAAAAAACAGGCAAACAAATTATCAGTATATACGCTACCTGAAATATTGTCACCATTGCGGCCTCAACATAATCCGTCTCAGCATGTAGTGTATAAAATACATCAACAGGGAACTGTCTTCCCTGAACATGAACAGCCTTTGCGCCACCAAAGTACTCAGAGAATATACGTGCGTCTAAACTGGCAGACATAATTATCAGCCTTAGAGGAGGAAGTTTTGCAACTTGGCCTTGCTTGAGTGGGCTAGCCATTTGAACCCCATTGGCTTTTTCCAAATTAGTGTCATTATTTGAGTTTGCTCTACCAACTGACTCATTTGCAGATTGAGATCTAGCTTTCTGAACATTTTTTAGCAAGCCCAGTAACACATCAGTGTGAACTGTTCTCTCATGAGCTTCATCAACAACAATGACTGAATACCTAGATAGACGAGGATCCAATAATGCTTCCCTGAACGTAAGCAAGGATCACATCATTTAATAGGAAGACATATCTGGGCAACAATTTTGCATAATCTATAAGTAGATGGACCATTCGAAGCTATCTCAAAAATGTGATTACATGACATTTCAATGCTAGACTGCACAAAGAAATTTACTTATAATTTACTTGACCATCTATTTCTTTTTCTTTAATCTTTGATCAGTAGGAGATTTTTTAAACTTTTTAGCAGAGGTGTTGCCATCAATAGGACTTGCACCTTATAGATATTCAAATCTCAGTCTGACTTGTTAAATATAGACATTGAAGTATTGAACCCATATTCAGCCCCTGATTTTCAATATTTTTTTTTCCTCCTTAAAAAAAAAAAAAAAAAAAAAAAAAAAAAAAAAACTTAGCTTTATTACTTGAATACATGTGCAACTATACCCATATCATATCAAACTATTCCCTCCAATTGTATCATCAGTTTACTCAACTTTCTCATTCCATATTATTAGTCCTTATTGTATTGTAACTAGTTAGTTTTAAATATTAAAGCAATAATGAATAACTTTTTTTTTTGAAACAATAATGAATAACTTCATAATATGTGTGCATATCCTATAATCCTTAAGGGAGAAATTAAAGTGGAGTGAGTATTATCCAATTCTTCTAGGGAGACAACCTTAAGGATAAGAGAGATCAACATTCAACATCTGCAACCTTAACCCTGAGACTAGAAAGTAGCTTTTTACATCATATACATTCACTATGAAGGCTCCTCCAATTTGAACATGATTGAGACTACTCTGAGAGTCACTAGTAGCAAATTTATACAATGTTGGATTACAACAGACTATATTAGGCATCTCCTACATGTGCTAATCACTTCTTTGTGAAGTTGCATGAAATTGAAATGTAATCTAGAGGCAACTTTATAGCCAAGGCATGAGCCTCGATGGGAGAATTGGTAAAAGTAAGGCATAGCTTGCTCTTGATATTCTCATAAGGAAAGGTTATCTACAGGGAGTTCCTTTCTATTCTCCTTGTATCTCTTTCTCACAATCTTTCCCTTTCCCTTTCATGAACCAAATGCTCCCTAAAGTCATTCTCAATAATCGACACATTAAGGCTACGTTCAAATTGACTTATTTTGTCTATAATTACCTTACTCAAGTTATTCAGTCTAAATTAAGTCAAGATAAGTCAAAGAGAATAGGATCTAAATAGCACACACAAATGACAAACCAGTAAGTTAATTAGATAGAAAATTAAAATTACCTTAATAATAACCCATCCGTCATGTACTTGATCCTCGTTGATCCACAAGTCATGTCATCAAATCTAACTGAATATCCAACTCTTTGTCCTAATTGCACACCAGACTCCTCAGCCACTCTTTTCGCCACAGTAACAGCAGCAACACGCCTAGGTTGAGTAACCCCAACCAACTTTCCATCATGGCAGAACCCAGCTTTGAACAAATATTGTGGCAATTCTACAATAACAACACAAATTCATCTACAAACAATCACAAAGTATAACTCTTTACACTCCATTCTCCAAACACAATTATAACTTTCAATACTGCAATATATATTATACAACTATTTCAGCCAAAAGTAAGTAATTTTTCACAAATTTCTCTAATTCTCTTTACAATGGCCTAATCCATGAAAACCTAACATACATTCTAATTCCTTGTTTCTTTATTTAAGTCACTGTTTCCATATTACACCGCGTGTAACATTACACCCTCTCACATCGTATGTGGAGCATGTGAGCTTTTAACGACTGTAATTTCACACCCGAATGTACAATCGAAACTGTATTTTTTCGACATCAAAGACAGGAATAAAGGGTAAACAAAAAACATACGGGTAGTTTTGCCGCTTCCAGTTTCACCAACAATAATCAAAGTATGATTATTACGAACTTCCTCCACTAGCCTTTTCTCAACTACAACCACAAATTAATCAATTTCTTAGTAAATTTTCAATCTTTACTCAACAAATTAAAAAAAAAAAAAAAATCAAAACAAATTAAAATTAAAAGGGTACCGGCAGCAATAGGAAGAGATTTTCTCTGCTCCAAAATCTTTTGCCTCCTGCATAAAATTGAATTAGAACTCAAAGAAATCAAAATTAGAAAAAGAGTGAAAAAAAGGGAGGAATAAGAAGAACCTGGAATCATTGTTGGAAATAGTGCCATTAGTTTGTTTGTAGTGTGAATTAGCCATTGACGGCATCTTCGACCACCACCGCCGCAACTACCGCCTGAAACGGGCGTTGATCAGCGAGTGTTACGGTGTTTTACAGGCGGGAGCGGCGCAAGTAGCAGTAGCAATAGCGCCTCTTTCAATTTTGTAGAGAAAAAAAATTAAGGCTTGAAAATTTTAAACAGCAGACTAATAAATGAGTATTTACAGAGTGCCAAAGACAATTAAATATTGATGAGATTTGAACTCTGATTTATTAAGGCGAATTGAACTGAACTTAAAGTGAAAAGAACAAATCTAATATAACGGGGATTCTCCTTTTATGATAGGAAGGGAGATGAGGAGCTGAACCCAGGTCACATCTAGGTGAGATGGAGGTACTAAACATCCCTTCATTCCTCACTTGTGTTTTAAATTAGGGAAATTGAAAACCACATAGGATAAGCATAACAAAGACTTGATAAACACACAACTAATTTTATAGTGTAAAGAGAGGCACAAACGTGACAAGGGCAGTGATGTGAAAGAAATTTAATCTATGTTTTTGGGTATCGCTTGTAAAATTTTAACCAATTAAGCTAGTTGACATCTACATACTGTGTTAAAAACAAAGTTATACTAAGTATAAAAAATAATAAATCACAATTATTGTCCGTTATAATGGGTAAGTATCTCAAAGGGATATTGTTGTCATTTTAAGTAGGTAAGTGAGGTCAATTTGTAATTTCAGCAATAACAAAAGTTTTTACTAAATTAATGGATACATGAGAAATTTCAATAGAGATTTCAGATGGATGGTGGACAATTCAGTGAAGACGAAGAAGATGAAGGTGTCGATGAAATGGTGGGAATAGTTTGTATCGGTGAAAGGTGAGTGAGGATGAAGAATATGAAGGTGGTGGAAAGCTTGAGATCCTTCAATGGAGTTGCCATGGGAAGGATGAAGAAAAAGTAAAGAAGATGAAGGTGGATGGGAAGAGGAGGAAGAAGAAGGAACAAAGAAGATGACATGACGTTAATGTAGCGAAAGATATAAAAAATATTAATAAACGTACTTCTATTCACATGTGAGAAACTTAGGCTCACTTTATACTAACCTAAGGCATCAATTGAACCCAAATGTAATTAAAAGGCATCAAATTTTAGCACGTCGTGAAAATTTAAAGAAAGTATATCTTATGATTAACTTAATTGACAATTTTGTGTCGCTTGTTTTAGGTGTATTAGACAATTAGCTATTAAAGCAAACCAAGTTTTTTCTCTCATCATCATGGGATGTGAACATAATTATCATAATACTATTTTTTATTTTTAATTTATTCAGAAGATTTTACTTGTAACAAAACCTCACAAGTCACAAATGGAGTGGAAGAGAAAAATTAGAAGCTTGTTGAAACTACTGTCGCTATTGCTATTGCTATTACAAGACTTCCCTTTGTTTGAAAATGAAAGGCACACAGTTCAGGTTTACAACGGAGTGTTGTTGACAAAATTGCGCTGTAGGTTTCAGAGTGCGTTCATTAGACGATGACTTTCTAACAATGAAGCTTTGAGAGTAGTATAGAGGGAAGAAGGTTGCTATAGCCTATAGGTAGGGAAGAGTAGAGACCAATATAAAACACTGCTAAATTGGGTAACTGATGGAATCAACATCTTCCAATGGATCTCGATCCTTTTATAAACAGTAAAACACATGTATTACTATGAAATTTTTTACGAGTTAAAAGGCAAACAGGACAAAAAAAGGCTGCAAATAGATTTGAAGATTTTATCAGCCTTCAGATTTTCACTTGAACAAAGTTAACAGGGTAATGGTGTAAGATACTTCGTATGATGCTATAGTTTTCAAGAAGCTGCTGTTTTAGGCAGACTTTGGTCTGTACTCCAGGGAAAATACTTTGCAGCAGCAACTACCAACAAGCTTACAACACTAATTGTAATTGTACTAATAGACACAGGAACATAGCTTTTTCCTGAGCTTTTGCTGGTTTTTTCGGTGCTGGACTGAACTTGGTGCAATTGCAAAGCAGAACTTTTTGTGAATCTGGAGTATGAATCAATTTCTTTCCTTGTTAATGCAGGTTTTAGGGAATTCTTCACTGTCTGGAAATGTCGATCACTCACAATGGTTGCAGATATATCCTCCCTCAAAGCTACAATTCCAGCTTCTCTACAAAGGCCCTCCAGCTCAGCACCTGTAAATAGATCAGTGCCATCTGCTATTTGTTGAAGATTGACATCAGCTCCTAGTTTCATATTTCTTGTATGCACACGTAGTATCTCATATCGACCTTCCAAATCTGGAGGTGGAACATAGAGTACCTGCAGAGCAGAAAAGTTCAGGAGAAACGAACATAAAATTCTACAGTAGAGAAATAAATTTATATTCCAGTTGCTAAGTGAAAGATGTCCTGTCTACAATTACTTATCCAATTTGGAGACAACTGCAAATGTATATCAAATTGAACAGGACATTTCACTTTGTTCAGAGGGCCTTCTGACAGTCTATCAATTAGGCCATCTGAAAGTTTGGCTAATCGAGTAATGAGCTGAAGAACGAACTTTTTTTTTTTTTTTGAGTAAGCTGAAGAAAGAATTGATGCAATGTAAAGCTGACTTTTATACACATATTCTACCAATTTGTTTCCGGCTTCTGGAAAAAATATTAGCTCACAAATTCTGCAATTGCACATACCAGCCACGCCCCACAGTTTCTACCCTCCCATGAGATACTCAACAACAATTTCACAGCTTATCCAAAGCCAATTTGCCGACACCTGTAATATGCCACTTGACTATATCATTTTCCAGTCACTTCTCTAGTAATGACTAGTGTATTCCATCGTAAGATCAGCTCTGATACACCCAGAAAAGATATATATATACTATATAATAAAAGCAGGCAATGATTTACCATACAGGTAAAACCCTCGCAAATTCATGGATATAGCCAAGACTTGGTTCAGTTGAGAAGGGGAGATGGAAATAAAAAATCTGACCAAAAGCTTGAAAGGAACATATTGCACAACCTAAACCATGGCCCCCTCCCCCTTTCCACGTGGATCTCTTCATCTCAGTGAAAATTCAGAAACCCTTTTAAATTTGTAGGACTTGTTATATTATAAATGAATTACTCAAGTGGTATCATCTGTCAAGAGTTTAGCTTTTTATGGAACTGTCTGCGAAATATATTTACCAAATCAAATCGCCCTGGACGCATAAGTGCAGGATCAATTGCATGAGGTCGATTTGTGGCAGCCAATACAAGTATTCCCTGAACAAGATAAAATGGAAAGTTCATCAAGTCAACAGCTCAGAAGAAATGAACAATATACAAGAAAACATTAAGTGAACATGCTTGCAAGGAAATGAATGCTGGAATGAGCTTTGCTGAGTTGTAAGCAGTAAATGCACATATTGATATATTTCAAGACCATATCATACTTTTGCCAGCTCCAAACCATCCATTTCAGTCAGCAATGTTGACAGAAGCCTCTCTCCAACAGATATATTGCCACTTGAACCCCCACCTCTGGAAATGAATCATCATAAAAAAAAAATCTAACGGTTAATATTAAACCACACTTAAGTTTTTAATAAGCTGATATAATGCCACAAACACATGTACCAAACAGATTTTTTGAGGGCCAAATCACAGTTTAAAAGGCGATTATTGTCAGGAGAGAATAAGAGTCATCTATCAAAACAGAATGAGTCCACACTTAGCTGTTACTTCTTTAAGAGTTACAGTATAATAACCTTTCTCTAGTTTGCATTAGGCAACACAGTAAGATAAGGAAGGTCAAGGCAAATATTTTACAAAAGCTTCTTTCAATCACCAAAATAAATAAATAAAAATAGATACATCACATGGTAAGAACTTCAGATGGCAATTTTTAGTTAGGTAACCATATCATCATACTCGCTGCATCATTTAGATAAAAAAGAGACAGAAGATAGCCCCTGAAGTTAACCATAAAATCCTCTCATTTTTGGACCTGCATTGTTTTACACTTGTAGGCTTGTAGCTCATTAAGGAAATTGACCCTAAAACAGAAAGGATGGAACCTATGGCCCATATGGTAGGCAGAAATAATGGTATATGAAAATATGTAAGGGAAGCCCCATGTCAATGTCCACTGTAATGCCTGTCCTTCCAAAACAACTATTTTCTTTCATAAATTCTCAATACCACCTCATAAGAGGTGATGGATGATAATTGGAACTTGTAAAGAACAACACATACAACATATTTTAAAAAGTTATAAAATGAGAAGGGAAAATCTTTCTTTTAATGCTAAATAGCCTCATCTATATTGACAAGAGAATGAAAGTCATATATAGTGGATACTCCAGGTACTATATATAGTGGATGATGACAAAGCAATAAGTAGACACAAATTTCAAGCAAACCCCAGAGACAGTATAACAACCTCCTTGCAGCAATGACATCAGCTTCGTCAAAGAATAAAATGCTAGGTGCTGCTAGCCGTGCTCTCCGAAATGTGTTCCGCAACAAAGCCTCACCTTCACCAACATACATTGAATATAGCTCTGCACCACTATGTGAAACAATTATATAAATGAGAACCTGTTTTGGTATAAATGTTCAACATCAATTTAGAATTTTGCAATTAGTACTCAAGAAATGTGAAATTATACAAAGGAGAAATGCTCTAGGTTAGCTGTCTGATAAATGGTATCACATAACAATTTACAAATGTGAGATTGGCATATTGAAGATAACCATACCTCAAGGAGAAAAAAGAAGCTTGTGCTGCATGAGCTGCAGCTTTAGCAAGGGTGGTTTTTGAGCATCCAGGAGGTCCATGCAGAAGAATCCCTCGAATAGGAGATACACCCATCCTTGAAAAAGCACCAGCATGTTTAATAGGCCACTCCACTGCCTGCCGAAGCTTTTTCTGCAAGGCAGCATCACCAGAAGAGAGTAAGAGACTACAAGAAAATCCAACAAAATCTAACCTATAATATCCTGATAGCATCCGTCTCAATATTAAAGTCAAGCAAGCAGTTACTGATCTTCCTAGCACTAGAAAATCTTTTTTGATGCCAAAAAATTCCGAAAAGTCATCAGGCCTAATAAACTATCCAGATATTATCATGCAGAGTAACTTGGAAGTCTTAAACCAACATTTAGTTTTAAGGGAAACTTTATCTTGTCTATCCACCATTCTACAACCCTTTCTGACGCATATAGCTTAAATTTACAATTCTCATGTCTCTAAGATATAGTCTATCACAAAATGTTGATTCAAGATATAAAAACCAGATTCAAGCAAGACACCTTCGTAAGTTGCTGTTTGTTTGATCAATGGATTTTGCATATTCGTAAGGTACTTTCCTGAGTAGCATCCTCAATTATGATCCAAATTGCCTAAACAAGTACGCTGAGGGTCATTAAGAGCAACAGCTACAAGTAATGTTAAGACATATTAGATTGCCTTTAGCTTAAGTTAATTTATTCCACATATAATTTCCTCAGCAAAATCTGTTCCAATGTCTGCAATGAAATTAGCTAAAACTAAATTTGTGCTTCTTCTACATCCCTTGCTTCCCCATACTGTGTTAAATTCAATCCACCTCTAAACATAATAAAATTTTCCTGCCAAGCAGAAAGTAAAAGTTCATCCAGTATACCGACCTTCAGCTCATTTAGTCCCCCGATATCATCCCAAGACACCTTAGGGATTTCTACAGTGACACCTCTTGTTATGCTTGGACCAACTATAGATCTTGCAAGCTTCCAATCATCCATTGTGATGCACCACATATCATCATTTTCCACGATAGCTTTTGATCTCTGCACAGCAGACATGGCTGCCTCACGACATAAAGCTTCCAAATCAGCCCCAACATATCCATTACATGACGCAGCTATTGCTTGTAAGTCAGTACTGGGATCAAGTGGAAGCTTCCTGGTATACAACTGCCAAAAAAAAAAAAAAAAAAAAAAAACGTAAACAACATCTGTGGCCAAAGCATCCAAAGAAGTGGTCGCGATAGATAGTCAGCTGTCTATTGATCTAGCAAATGTAGATAGGAAGGATAGAAGGTCTTATTAGAGCTTACCATCAATATTTGAAGGCGCTCATACTCATTAGGGGTTGTCACCTCAATTTCAGCATCAAATCGTCCTGATCTTCTCAGTGCTGGATCAATAGCATCAATCCTTTAGATATTAGCAACTTAGTATTAGTAAGTATATGTAAATTAACTGAAATGCTAAAGTAAAAAAGACCCTGGTGATAATGGTGTTCATCTTACTACAGCTCCATCGTGAAATAACAATATGTATCAAGTAGTAAACCACATCAGTAAATACCAATTTCCAATATCAATAGAGCATGTAATTTATACATCAATCCTTTAGATATAAGCAACTTAGTTTTAGTAAGTATATGTGAATAACTGAAATGCTACAGTATAAAAGACCCTGGTGATGATGGTGTTCGTCTTACTACAGCTCCATCATGAAAGAACAATATGTATCAAGTTGTAAACCACATCAGTAAATACCAATTTCCAATATCAATAGAGCATGTAATCTATGCAGACACAAGAAAAAAAAAAAAAATCCAAGCCAACATATCCATCGTAAGGTTCTTATCAGCTTCTTTTGTGTTTCCAAAAACAGTTGCCTAACAAATACAAGGTGCAAACTACAAGTCTACAATCCAGCTCTATATGGAGGGGATAATAATATGTAGACAGTTAAAAGATAGACGAACAACATCCATAGTCCATACTGAGCTAAATATGTGGCAACATAGAGCATAATATTATGTTTCATAGAGTTCACACAAACTACAGTTAAAACAAATGTACCATATTGGTTGAACACTTGAGGTAACATATGATAGGAGATAATACCCCAAAATTTGCCAGACCATATAACGGTATGGCGACTTTGACCCAAGCCAAGAGAGGTTTAACTAAGAAGAAGAGAATTCAGGATATGTGCAAAAGATTGGACAAATATACTTGTTTTTACTGCACTCCAGTTTGTAATATGACAACTAGTCAACCAATGCTCTGAACATAGTATTCCTTGAAAACAAAAACTGTAATTATTGCGATAATATTCAGTATATAATCTCCACCCAGCAATATAATCTTAAGCAATGATCCCAACACCAGAATGATCAAAGAGATTATTTACAATCAATTTTTTGGACAGTTTTTAGCTACTTGCCAGGAATAACCGAATAAGACTGAAATGGTGGAGCAAGGAAATAAAAAATAGCATATAGGAAGATTTAAATACACGGCATGATAGTATAGATATCGAAGTAAGGGATAACCTGTTAGTTGATGCTACAACAACAAACTGAGGTGCAGTTGAGGTGGGTCCATTTGAATCCATAAGCGTAAATAGTTGGGAGGCCAATCGAGTATCTTGCTCTCTTCTGCATTTAGTTATTTATTGGATAATAATCAAAGTGTGCAGCAAAATAAAACTATCACTCTGAGCAATCACAGGACAGACATGACTTTAAAGTTTATGCTAAATGGTATCTTTAAACTCAGTCTATTAATCACATCACATCAGCATTCTTTTATACCACTATATATGTCCTATCAATAAACCTTCCAATTATCCACAGAAGAGCATAATACAAACAGATATTCCCACTGCGCAGCTACATGACGTTCTCGATAATGGATGAGAAACATAGTAGAAGAAAGACTACTTTTTTGGTGACATAAATCAAAGTAGGCTTTTCATTTGCATATAGTTATCCAGCTTTCCAGAATTAAAATAATTACTCACATTGAAAACAAGTAGCTTATAGATAGAGGACTTAGAGGCTCACATGTCTCTCATTTAATTCCTCTATTATTTTTATCTATTAGAAAAGAGTACTTATTTAGGGAAAATAGTTGTAATAAGTATCAATACTAGCTGAATGCTACAAGCTAGGTTTAAGTTTATAAAAATTGTATTCTTTTGTTTCACATACCTGGAAGCACGACGAGGACAGAGAGCATCAATCTCATCAATAAAAATGACAGAAGGCTTGCCTGACTTTGCATGAGATGACGCTTCTGAGAAAGCCTCACGAAGGACTTTCTCACTTTCTCCAACATGAGCTCTATGAACAGTATGTGGACTGCAACAAAAACAAGAGCAAATTAGAACCCTTTTTATGAAAAACAATAAAATATACATGAGAGAACACACTTTCACTACCTAATAACGATTAGCTTGGCATCACATTCCTTGACCACAGCACGTACCAAGCTTGTCTGGCAATGCAAACGAAACACATCAGTAGCCAAATATATCAATGAAGTTGATCGCTTGTTTAGAGCTTCAAAATTAATTTGAAAAATTCTCACTAGCATATACTACTATAGGGTCACTTAAGCAAGAACATCTATGGATGCAGCTACATCAAAATCTCATTATAACCTTTCCCTACCAGTTGGTCAAACCCAATGACCTCAAATCTTTTTCATTTATCTTTCACTAAGGCTCTGCTTTTTTCAACGGAAAGCATTTTCTAGAGTTTTTTTTTTTTTTTTTTTCATTTTTTATCGTTTGTTTATAAAGGGTGGAAAACAATTTTCCCAAAAGGTAGAACATAGTTTTTCCACAAATGGAAAACATTTTTCTTACATAAAGTAATGCTATATTTTCCACCCTACTCCTAACATCCGTTTCCTCTCCTCCCAACCATCTTCTCCCTTACTATCTTATTTTCCTCTTCGACTCTTCCTCTAGTAATTTTTTTAAAGGGAGGAAAGCTAGTATTACAATTATGTTTTTCCTTTAAATTTTTTTCTATGGAAAATCATTTTTCCCAAAACTGTTATCCATCACAACAAATGGAGCCTAAGCAACATTTTTTTCATTTCTGCTAGAATCATGCACTTCCCTCAAATCCAAAATTAGAACTATGCCAACCCCATAGAAGGATTCCCATCACCCTATCATTTGCTTAGGTGACAACACCAATGAGTACATCGGCTACCCACAATTCATTTAAAAATCCCCTCAAAACAAGACTTTCGACGTAATTCCATCAATACATACAAATAATTTCAATGCCCTCTTTCATAACAATCTTAATTTACAAACTCCCATTACCAAGAAAATGAAACACACAACTTTCACAATAACAATCACACACCAAAATCAAAATTCGGGTGAAACCGCGAAAAAGAATTCAATCAATTGAGGGAAAAGGGGGTTAGATTAACTCACCTTACCGGTGCCCGGAGGACCATAGAGCAACAAGCCGCGACGCCACTAAAAAAAAAAAAATCAAAAATTAAAATTAAAAAATTGCAAAAACATAGAAAATAATCTGAAATATAATTGAGAAAGAAAGAAAGAGAAATACTTTGAGACCAAGGAGTTGAGCATGAGAAGAGTAGAGCAGAGGAAAAGCGATGAGTTCACGAAGAGCTTGGAGTGCTTCAGAATTTCCAGCGATTGATTGTTCTGCTTTCCAAACTTCATTTTTGATTGATTCATTGCTGGATTTGGTACTTTCCTCCATTGATGTTCTTCAGAGTAGAGAGTGAGTAAAGTTTGAAGTTTTGGCGCAGGGTTTAAAGGCTTGTGAATTGTGATGGGGTTTAAGAGCACAGTGACATTGGTCACTGACTCACTGATAAGTCATGCGACTAGTGGTCTTGTAGGCCGATGTCCCGTATTCTTATTGGTTTTTCGTTTAGGTCCTGTTTGGTTTGATATGGAAAATCAGATAGGGTCTAAACTCGTTTGAAATATTAATAGTCAAGTGTGTAAAATATTGCAATTATTATTAATTAGAGGGAGTATTTCAAGTTTGAAAATGATAAATAAAAAATAAATTAAAAAGAAAAAAACACTTAAGATGTTTACAAAGCTCGTTGGTTAGAGGTCTAAGACCATCTCCATTTGTGAGACTCAACTTTGAGTATTGAAATATAAAATGAGTTGTTTTTTTTTACCTTCAATGGCGATACTCAACCCACTTCTCAATTTAGCAACTCATGTAAAGTCTTAATTTCCCAATGCTGAGCCGCGAGACAGTTAAACCGATTTCAAACCGACCCGATTTAATACCGAACCGATTTCAAACCGAACCGAATCCGAACTGTCAAACCGTTTTGACAGTACTATCTCTCACACATATGCTTAATCAAAGAAGACCTAATTCTCTTTTCCCGAAAAAAAACAAAAAAAAAACAAAAAAACTAATACTCTCATAGGGATTAAATTTAACTTAATCTTTTAATTAATTTGAGTACTTTGATTCTTTGTGTATGCACAAGCATATGTTTGTCACTTAATGATCACTTGAGAATATGGCAAAAAAAAATCCACCAAATGGAATTTGCAACAATATGAGGCATTGAGGCCACCATGTAGAATTTTCCAAAATGATTTTGATACTAATTGAATATGGTTACATTGTTCAACTAATCAATGGAAGTTGGAACCTTTGAAAATACAAAATTCAAGGGCTATAAAAACCATTGAAGCAAAAATTTGTCATGCTCCACAGAATTTGATGGCTGGAAAATCACTATGCATCTACACTCGTATGCAAATCTTCAATGGGAACCAAACAGAGAACATCTGCCAATCATTCACCAACGCCATCAGCACGCTCACCAGGTAACACGAGATCTTAGCTCGATGACTTGTGGAAGGCTACACTGCCAGCAGATGCTTGATTTGCTGCACGGTTGCTGCCAAAATTCTTACGATTTGATTCTTGTGCTATTCTGGAGCCAAACTGAAGCAGCACAGAAAGATATTAGTTCATCTACCACTCTACCAGTGCTGAAATTACATTAGTTCCACCTTTGAAACTAGGTAGTTTATGCAGTCTGTGGTATACTTGCATTACCTGAATAGCTCGTTTTGGCTGAACTGCTGCTTCATGTAAACCAAGCAATCTAGCAACCTTAACACGGAGAAAAAAGATGGTTTAGTAGGATAATACTTAGATTCAACTAGATTGTGAAAGGCTACACCATGTTAACAACTCAACAAAACATGAAAAGTCCAAGCAATTGGACTACTAATTGATACAAAAAAGCATATTAATAGACAGCACTAGGGATTCAGTTCAGCATAAAAAAGGCATGCACCTCTCTCAAAATTTTTTTATCACCCTTGCCACTTGGCTGATTGAGGTTCGCGATCTCCCATAGTGGAAAGTCAAGCAAAATCCTTATGACGTCCTCATCCAAGAACGGAAATCTTGCCTGAGGAGAATAGAAAAGAAAATGCTGGTTGATAGTTATCAAACGACAATTATTTCACGTGAAAACTGAGAAGTTGGAACTCGGAAGCAGACTAGCATTACCTCTTTTCCATTGTCAGCAATACATCTATCATCTCTCCCAAGATTTCTTTTCCAGATTCTCTGCATGTCCAACTTCATTTCTTCATGTAGGCCAAGCCAACTGATCATAGCATAAAATTAAGTAATACAACAATAAGACAACTGGAAAAGAAAGGAAAAGCATAGAGTCTGCTTCTCTAATTCACGTACTTAAGGAAGAGGAAGGAGATAGGAGATGAAGAGATCTAGATTCTAGATTTTAACTTGTTTTATTTTCAAACTAAAAATACTTGGGGACAATAAACCATAAGTAGAGGAGCCATTGCACTTTACTTGCTTTTACAAAATTGAGGAGACTTATGCAGATGTTCAAAATTAGAAGCCAATAGAGCATCATTTTTTCCACTCTTGTGTTTCTTACTTATTACTCCTCCAATTAATCAGATCACTGAAAGAAAATGCCAGAAAATATTTGCACCACTCCTAATACGAGGGTATTTTCTTGGTAGCAAGGGGGGGGGGGTTGCTAATAAGAGTAAGAGACATACACATGAAAAGACGGGAAATAAGACTACCTGCTATTTCTGTATTTTGTTCTATGCCTACCATATCCAGCACATTGCTCATCAGCACCAGAACCAACTAGTAATATTCTTGCTTCAGACTTGTATCTGAAGCGCTGATAGCCTTCATGCGGAGCAGAAGTATCTAGTTCATGCACCCAACCATCACCACCAGAAGCCAACCATAGTGCTATACCAATATTCAGGTCCTGATCATTAACCCAGACAGGGGGTTAAAAAAAAGGTAATTAATAAAGTTAATGAAATTAATTAAATTTACGTACAAAAAAAGACAAGACACTTGCACCACATAAAATAATGGTCCAGCTCCAGCATATAAACAAATAAGGCTTTCATCCATATAATAGTAGACTAGAAAATTCTAAAGAAGCCAGCAAGGTGCGTTTTATTTACCTAACTTTCACTAATCTGAACTTATCCAAACTTTTAGTATACTATATGAACTTATCATAACTTATTATAGATGTAAATTGAAATTAGGCAACCCTTATCAGAACTTAATTTTCCTAAACTTATATTATCTAAACTTATTTGTCGAAAAATAAATGAAAATTAGGTGAACAGAATAGGACCTAAATACATAAATTGTAGACTCAGAACAAAAATAGTCTTTAAAAGTTCTATATATAGATAAAACTGATAAAAATAGAGTACCATGTAAGTTTTTGCAGGGTTGATTAGAGCCATAACTTGCTTCATCTCCATGGTTAGATTTGAGAGATCGGCATCAATCTCCACAAGTCTCCACCTGTGTTCTCCAAACAATTGAATATTACGAACATTTCTCGCAAAGTAAATGTAGGAAAGTTAAATACAATTACCAATATTGTAAAGAGAGAAGAATCAAGTAACCAATGGACTCAAACAATCAATTATGTGGGCAATGTGGCTTTATTTGACGTCAATGGAATGTACATCTTAAATGAATGATCATGCAAATAAACTCAATTATTCTGCTAATCTTACAAGATGACCCAAACCATCAGAATTAACAGGAATAATACCCCTTTAATGATTTGTACAGAGTAATAAAATTTACAGTGGATCCTAGTAGAAGAATCTACCTTGAGAATGGCTGATGTAGCTTTTATATGGTTTCTACGGAACAAACATACGCGAACACCATTATGTTATTTGATAATGATCATATCCCAAGGTAGGGAAATAAAAAAGGCCAAGTATTAATATCATAATGCTCAAAACCTTATTTTATAAATAAAACAAAAACATGATGTGATTATATAATTCTGTCAAACAAAATAAATTTGCCATGTCAGCTGTTCTACAACGAAGATTTTCAAGCCAAGGACCTTCATCTTACTTTTCTTTGTTGCTATTAATCTACTTATAAATGTGCATTCAACTTTGTGACTGTTACTTTTTGAAAAAGGTACAAGAAGAGAGTTAGCAGATCCTAATCTGTCAACACAAGTGAAAGAATAATGTAATAGACTAGGATTTTCAGGTTATAAGTTCTATTGAACAAGAAATGTAAAGATAAAAGCTTGAGTCTTTGATTGATAATGGCAGAAATTTGGATACCAAAAGTGATAGGTTAATAGCTTTAGGCTATTAATCTCTTGATAACTTTAACCAATCACTCTCTTAGTAACTTGAGGTTACCATTCTCTCAACATATTTCCTCACAATTCACATAATGTCCTACTGCCTTCACTACTAGTCTACTACACTTTATATACTAAAGCCACATTACAAAACATTAACCTAATATTAATTGTTCTTGTCCTCTACTGCTTGCATTCCACATTACAAAACATTAACCAAGAACATTTATATAGAATGAAGATAGTAGGATGCAAGTCCTACTACCACAAACAATACAGAGAAAGCCAAAAGGATTGTGATGGAAATAATTTCTACAATCTACATACAATGAATTGTGGTCTTCTCTCCCTTTTGTTTAAAGGCCCAGGGTCTTGCTAGGTAAAATGAATAGTGTCTACTGCTTTAAAAAACTAAGTGCAATCGCTGCAGAGAGCAGTCTCAGAATACTCCATTTATATATCCCCTCTCAGCCCTCCAACTCACCTTGCCTGGTTCCAAGAAGGTAATTATTCAAACTTTTTCAATTTAATTTCATTGCAGATAAGAGTTTGTTACAATACGAAGCAGCTACTAGATAAAACAATGCATTCTAGAGAAGCTAAATAGGAAAAAGAAAAAAAAAAAAAAAAAAAAAAGAAAGAAAAAAAAAAAGGGATGGTATCTTCTTTTCCTATCAGGCTATCATTATACCTTCTCAAAGGTGCAATTCTTTCCAGTTCTTTCAGTCCTGCTCTAGAAGTAATTCGATCAGGAGCTGCTTCGCCATTGAAGCTGACATTTAGCAAATCAATGTCATCTGCCATCAAAGCACTAGATAATCAATCAGACATCCAAACTAAAATCCACAAATCATAATTACAATAAAGACATTGTAGTTTAATGACGCCTCCTAAGATAGACTAGCCACTTACATCCGGCATCTAAGCATTCATGCAGTATTGCAGCCAGTATCATGGAATCTAACCCTCCTGAAAATAGAATAGCCACAGGAACAGAGTTCTCTCGTCCATCATGCAAAGCTTCCTGCTGATTAAAATTTAATAAAAAAAAGAGCTAGAGTTAAACACTGCTGCCTTCAAAAGTTAAAAAAAAAATAACTAAGTAAAAAATTAAATAAAAAGAAAAATAATGCTGCACCATAAAAGTAAAAGCCGTCATCTCTGCAAGTACGTACTGCATACCAAAGTATTTTAGTTCATTTGCGACCAACTTCCTTCATCGTAGCTATCTAAATACTCCCTACATTTGACTGTGATTTCCCTCCTCTTTGTTTGACAACTTTCAACAATTCTAATTATCAATTAACTTACATCCATGATTTATTCCTCTGATAGTGGTTATGAGCTACTGATATTATTTCAAATGTATAAATCCACTTTTCTTATTCATTTTAAAAGACCAACTTGGACAACAAGTGTGAAACAGCATAAATATTCTTATTAGCTGGCTTGTCTGCAAAGCCATGACTGATAACAACCCACTTAAGGCATTAATGATCTAAGAGAAAACCAGCTACCGGTATTTCACTCGATACTCTGGAGCATATGTTCGATATGTAGTGGCTATACTATAATTTATTATCATCCAAATCTTCCTATCTGCCACAAATTACATCGACAGTGCCACAATTTATCCTTCCTAAAGAGCCCTGCGGTTCATAATCCTCAGAGCCTGGTCTCTTAACAAAAACAATTTGCATATTAGAGAGCACAAAAAATGAGAAATTGGCAAGAATAGTTACATGAAATATGGAATCTGATCATTTCCAGTTTTGTAATTGTTCATCTAGCTATCTTTTTAACTTCCCAATTACATGGAAAACAATGCAATTGTGTATGAAGGAAACATAAATGTCCCAAGTGGCACACATAGCTGAATTGCCAGAAACCAAACATCAAGAACCGTCTAATGATACAACCAAAGCATCAGAAAATTTAGGTAAAACTCAGTGCATGTAAATGTTCTAGATTTCAAACTTCAAAGTGAATTCAATCCTTCTTGATCTATGATGTCCAAAGTCCAAACAATTGTATCTAGTTAGAAGCCAAACATAAGGGCCTCATTAACTTTCAAGTTTCAACAGCTAGATAGAATTGAATGAAACATTCATAAGTATAAACCGCGATGCAAATTATAGTGCCTTTCCACAACCATGAAAAAGTCCAGCAGATCCTAGGAAGATGTGACACTATGGGAAACTGAATACAAAAGCATGGCCAAAGAACTCAGATCATGTAGGTCAAACCTTAATTTTGAAAGAGGATATTATTAAATACTTGATCAGAATGCCATTTTAGAGAACAGTAATTAGATATTCAAAGCCTGAAAATGTGTCAGATAGTCCATGATTGCCTAAGTTCCTTTTTTAAGCTATCTCAAATTTATTGTTTACTACAAGTACTACGTATAACTTGCGGTAGGAGTATTTCTTACTCTTAGATAACTGTTCTAGAGACATTCCGAATTGTGTTAAGTCAAAGATAAGTATATAACTCATTGTGGGAAAGTAGTATATTTCTGACATTATTTAAAGTGGACAAAAGAGCTTGCTCGTGATAATTTATTTATTATTTGGCAACAGGATGAGTGAACAGGGATTGTCACCAGAATGGCCACTAAGAACGAATGAGCAAAAATTCCACCACAACTTCAAAGTAAAACATCTATATTGCATCAGCAAAATATGCCACTTTTCAAATGATTATTGTCTACTAATAACTGAAAATTTTATGTTCTGATTAAAGTCACCTAGCCACATAACTACATGAGTACTACAAACAGAAACATCTGCAAGGTACATTCATAGCACGTCAAGAGCAGAAGATTTCACAAATAAGTAAATAGACAATGTCAAAGAGAAATTTCTTTAAGGCAAAGAACTAGAAATCTAACAGTTTAGCACCTTATAAATTGTATTTTGGGTAGAACGTCGTGTGATGGATTTTCTCAGGGCAGCCAAGACCCTGTCAGCTGGTGAAATAGATGAAGAGTGCAATGTTCCTGTAGTTATCCACAAACAGTATAAAGAGACAACAACGTTAAGAGTCAGTATCTAAACAACACCACAAAAAATCAAGCAAGAAAAGAACAAAATTAAATTGTTTTAGTTTTAATGTCATTTATCAGTTTTCACAGGCAAGATTGAACACTTTGTCCTGAAATCCAAATACTAATTACATACCATTGCAAGATGCTGAATGGATGTCTGAGTTCCCTAAAAGTGACGAGCAATTGGAAGAATTAAACTCCATAAGCTTAGGTTCAATCAGCTTTCTTTCCCACTTGATCAGATCTTTTAGCATATAGTTCATCCATTCATGTTTTCTGATTTTTCCAGCTAGACAGGCACCAGCTTCTGTTGCATCAACAGCAATACTGTACACCCCACAGGGAAGCTCTTCCCAGTATGTAATGTTACTAGCTCTACCTTCAACTTCAGAATCTAGAAAATGGATTATATCAGCATAGTGCAGCACAAGTGGAGATGCAGAGGATAAAAGAGCTACTCAGCAGAATCAACCAAATGCCACATGTGAAAAACAACTAGTATGGAATGCATTATTAAGGAGTAGAAATTATGTAGATTGATGTACTAAACAGCCTACAGGAGGGGCATTATGGGTAGTCTAATATCATTCTGTTAATAGTCATCAGATTTAGTATAGATAAGGGAAAGAAGCCATAGGGAAAAGGCATGCTGAATATTGCTAAAAAGTGGAGAGCTCCAAACTCTCGAATGCTGGTTAGAAAGAGAACAAGCCTCTCGAAAGCTTCTACTATCTTTCTTATATACAAATTTTAATGCAAACTTCATCTTCTTCTTCCTCTGAATTTCTTCTTAATTTTTCCAGTTCAAAGCTTAATTAGTCAAAATAATCATTTTTCATCTCTTTGGAACCATCCGTGTATGCCAGTTCATTACAGTTGATCAATAAGATACAATCCAAATGACAGACAAATTGGAAAACTTAGATTTAAGGCCCTCATATACAGTAGATAATCATTCATAGAATAGACTCCTACAATCTCTTTTGAGTATCTGGTGATAGTATCTTAACAATCCTATTGGTAAAATAATCATTTTCCTTTTAATTTAAAAATCCCATGAATCCTGGAGCATTTTACGCCCCTTTTCTTCCTTTAAATATTAAAGAAATTATCAAACCATTGGAACGTTGGTTGTCCTAATAAATCCCTGTGACTAAAGCATAAAATGGCTCCATCAAATTATCTTCTGACATAACATAAGATGGATCATCAAACAATTCATCAATAGCATATTAGATGAATTCAGAGGACAACGATTACATGGATTGAAGTGGATTTGAATTCAGATACACGTGAATTTTAATGACATTCAAGAAACAGAAAAGGATTAAAAAGTAATTACACATCTGTGCTCAACTTGTAAAGATATAAATAGGTTTTTAATTAGATTTAACACAAGGTCACATAGGATATTAAAATTAATGGCATTTTTTATACTCCACATCTTGGACATAAATTGCACCCTCAATCCAGACAACAGTAGTTATGCTGTTATGCAGACACCACTCAAAATTGAAGATCTACTTCTAGAAGGAAAAATAATCCATAAACAGCACAGCTATTACAATCTGTGCTTAAAGCAATCCTAATCAAGTGGTAATGTCGTAATGTCTTCCAAGGAGGTAACAGAAAAGAGAATCAAGAAGCAACATTACCAGGCTCCTGGGAAGTACATGCTGGTGATACAGAAGATAGAACAAGCCGAGAATCTTCTGAAGTGGGCCAATGAACAAGAAGACTCCTCCTCCCTAATGCATCCCTGCCAAACCACAAAGTCCTGGAGGCAGCCTAAGACCGATGGGCATGATTCAAAAATGAAAAATTTAAAAAGGGAAAAAGCAGCATGACTCCAGGAAACTGCCAAAAGGAACTTACCAGTCCAAGAGGATACCTGCCAATATATTGCGGCCCATGGCCCCTTAATAGATGAAAGAAGTTCGGGGATTGGTTTTCCGCTACAGCTGCTCACATTTTCATGGGATTGGCAACAGCAACAGTCTTCCAAAGACTGCAAAAGGACATTAGTATCGTTGCTGTCACAGCTCACATAAAGCCCATCATATATTTCACCTTCAAAATGGATACACGCATAAGTCAGAACACACATATTCATTGCATATAATAGGAAATGAAAGCAATTCATCTTTCAATTGAAATAGAACAAAGCTTTGCACTTTGAGTTTACAGAATGCAAGCATCTTATCGCTATACTCCCTAACCAAAAGATGAATTTACCAAATTATAAGCATATAATTATGTAATTGATTTTTTCTATCAAAATCAATATAGAAAACTCAGAACACTGCTGCAAGACCACTTATTTTGCCATCGAGGACAACAAAAGAAGCACATAAAGGTCAGTGGACAAGAGAAGGGTACAAGCAAGTTTGAAAAAGAATATAAAAGGAAAACGTCTTCACTATCTCATCCAAAATTTAATAGTTCATCCTCAGTAAAATTGATGAAAGGCAATAATAATTGACAAACTCAATCTTATCATCAAAATGACTTAAGAGTTTAGACCTACAAGACATATGGCAAGACTTGAAATTTTCAAATAAGCTACCCACCAAACATCAATATCTACTCAATATTAGTTTAGACAAGTGAACAACCATGATTGTGTTTGCTTAATCATTGATGTTCACTCGTCTACACTAATAAAGATTTTGTCTATCATTGCTCGAGCCCTTTAATCTACAACAACAATACATAAAGTTGAAATTACCATTATATATGAGGACATTCCCAGTTGCACTGACTAACGGCTGCACAACTGGCTTTGTTCCCCTCAACTGTAATACAGCACCAACAAAGCACATCTCTGCAACAGACTGCTGCATTCCACTCCCACTGTCTCCATCAGAAAAGGGTTTACAATCACGCATAGCACGCAAACAAGAGATTTCCCTTTCAGTTTCCTTGTCCCTGGCAACATAAGAATGTACTTCTGCATCCTTCACTTCAAGGATAACCTTTTTGGTCCCCAAACTATCAGGACCTCGTCTCCGTAAACCGGCTTTCAAGTCATCAATTGCAAATGTATACTGCATCCAGTACAGCAAGTAGTCCTCCCATTAGTACAATATTTTTCCACATAACCAATAAGGGCAGCAATCTACCATACGGTTCATTCATATAGCATTACCATAAACAAAATATGCCCCGCCCCAACCCCGGCCCATGATCACCACTACTCGATCAACAAAATACTTATTCCACCAAACACCATACTAAATTCACAATTAAAACCCCAATTCGATATCTTTTCATATAACTAATATAAGGGCAGCAATCTACCATACTGTTCATTCATACAGCATTATCATTATCAAATTGTGCCCCGCCCCAACCCGGCCCATGATCACCTCTACTCAATCAACAAACTACATATTCCCTCAAACACCATACTAAATTCACAACTAAAACCCCAATTCAGCAAATATGTCGAGAACAACAAGAAATAATAATATTTTGAACAGCAACAACAAGTCAACAACCCCATCAAATTTCCTTAACTAAATGGGTTTTTTCTATGATATGCAGAATTATTAGTGCAAATTGAAGCATAAACAATTCAGTTCAAAACTACCCACCAAAAAAATATAAGAAAGAAAGGGAGTAGAAATAACTTAACTTGTTCAAAAGTAGCATCTGAAGATGATTGTTGAATGGTATTAATGGAGGATAAATCAAAGCAAATGCCATCTACTATCAATGAAATTCCACACATTTTCTCTTCCTTTCTCCTCTCTCTCCTCTTCCACCTTCTCCTTTCTACTTGCCTTGCTAAACGCAGTGAGCTAAAAACACGCTATTTTACAAAAAAATGTAATAATGGTAAATTGGTAATTATATAATATATTTGAAGAAAAACTGTTAACAAATGCCTCCATAGCATAGTGGTAGTGCGTTCGCTTCGTAAGCGAGAGGTCGCGAGTTCGATCCTCGCTGGGGGCTCTGTTTTTCGGATTGAATACGGATTAGAAATTTTTTTCGAAATTTTCAACAACCCAATAAAAAAAACCCATCGACATTTTTTTGTTATTGACACTAACTAGTAAAGCGTTTTGTTCTATAACGAAAATAGCAAAGCGTATTCTTCTATAATGAAGATAGTGATCATACTTACAAGTATTTTATGCATTTAAACATAGTGAGTTGAGACTTAGAGAATAAAGAATACACGAAACTTTCTCCACGTAATTTAAAAAAAAAAATTTACAAGTATTTTATGCATTTAAGCATAGTGAGTTGAGGCTTAAATGCTAAAGAATACACGAAAATTCCTCTATGTAATTCAAAATAAATTATAAATCTTTTTTTTCATTTAAATAAATTTCATATTTTTTTTCCACCGACTAAATAAATTGAAAACGCGCTTTTTAAAGCAAAATTGTTTTTGATATGTTATTTTGGAATTCTCTCTAGTATATTTTGGAAAAAAAAAAACACCATGGTTTTCTTCCTCTTCTGTTGAATATAATCAATGACTTGTTTTATCTCGCTATAAGACATGACCATCTTATGAAGTGTAATGCGATGTTTCACGAGCATATAAACCCTATTGAGGTTAATTGTTACTTTGTTTAAGATGAGATCAAATTAGACAACATTGTTACCCTTACATCTATCATTAAATGGCTAGTCAATTAATGAACATTCTACCAAGATTCACTAAAAAATCGCAATTCTTAACACACTCACAAGCAGCGCATTCAGGAATCTAGAGGTGATCAACAATGGTCCAACTCACCCCAATCCAAAATGTACGAGTTGAACACGCGTAAAACACAACTTAGCTCAACATCTAAGTCCAACCCAAGTAAAATCTAATTTGGCCCGATAAATCCGACACTATACATATTTGAAAACACAATTTTTATACCCAGGCTCAACCCGACCCAAATTTTTTTGTATTCACCACCTCTCCTCGAACCCGAGGGTAGGGTAGTATCAAGATTGGTACGACGAGTAGGAGTAATATCTTTTGCACTTGGTATAAAAAATTTCCTTGTTAAACTTAGTTTCTAAAATTAAGTGAGGCTTTAACCTAGTAGCTCTTGCATATATATATCGAGCAGCCTCGTCTCGTGACAAGTCGCTTGGCAATACACTCCGAAAATACGGAAACAACGTTTTCTCGTCGCTTCATTGTGTTCTTGAATCTACCATTCTACTCTGAATTTCTCAGCAGCTTCTTCAGGTTTGATTTATACTTTTTATTAATCGAACATCAATTTCTCAATCTTGGGTTCTAATTCAATTTGATTATTGAACTGTTGTTTGTAATTTTGATTTTTTTTTTTTTTTCTATTCAAATCTTTAAGCGAGAAGAATTTGATTTGATAATTGAGTCAAATTTGGTTGTTAATGTGATGTAAAACCCTAATTTGTTGATGTTAGGACGGAACCATGATAATGATCTTGGTTTAGACTTTAGAGTTCGGCCTGATTGAATCTAGGGTTTAGTTGTAGTTCGTGTTCTTTAGTCCACAATGTAAGTAGATGATAGTTAACAAATCTGTGTCGGTGTTGCTTATTGTATTGTTTGTAGATCTTGTGTTTTCTGTTTGAAATACATATTCAATTGGTGTGTACTTGAGTGCTAAAACCCTAATTATAGAGATATGATTTTGATTCATGAATATGATATTGGGTTTTGATTGACGATTCCGATACTGGGTTTTGTGTATGTAATGTATTGTTGTGATTGATTGTGTATATTTGATTGGATTTTTCAGAGATGGCTGCACAAACGGATGCCCCTTCCTCGGATTTCAGTGCTGAAACGGTGGGTAATGCCTTTGTCGGTCAGTTTTACAAAATTTTGCATCAGTCGCCGGAGCTTGTCTACCGGTTTTATCAAGATTCAAGCACAATGAGTCGACCAGGCCCCGATGGAACATTGGCGACTGTCACTGCCATGGAAGTAAGACTCTCTTATTATATCTTCTTGGATCAACCAGTTATCTGAAATGCATAAGTAATAGGTCTTGTAATGACTTTTATTGTATAATATTGATTGATAGATAAAATTCATTGAATTAATACTTATGATGTATAATCATCTAATGTGGTTTAGAAAACTAGAAATTCTGTTATTTTTGCACTTTTTTCTCCTTGACTTATTATATACTATATGGTTATAGTACTATCTTTGTGGCTTGGTTATTGTTCCATTAAAACTTAGGGGTGTTTGGGGGTATTTTGTTTTCGTTGGGCAATATGATCTAATGCAATTTATGTTATAGGGAATTAAGGGTCTTATCCTCTCCTTAGATTGCACCGATTACAAAGTAGAGATATTAACAGCTGACGCACAAGCTTCTTACATGAATGGAGTGATTGTATTAGTGACTGGATGTTTGACGGGAAAGGACAATGTGAGGAGGAACTTCACTGAGTCATTCTTTCTAGGTCCTCAAAACAAAGGTGGTTTTTTCGTACTCAATGATACTTTTAGGTTTATTGAAGAAGACAGCACGCCAGAGGTTAATTCAGTGGAAGAGAAGGATGTTGATAAAAGTGCACCAGCCTCTCCTGTGATTCCTGTTGAAGGTAAGCTTTTATTTCATCACTGTCATAATTTTCTTGCCTTTTTGCTTTTATGGAGAGGTTGTTTCTGGTTTCTGCAATGCTAATGTTGTGCTTCATTACAGACACTACCGAAACCTCAAACGCTACTGTAAATCATGCTCCAGTTACAGAGGATGTGGCAAAAACCAACATCTCCGAAGATGAACCTAAATTGACTGTCACTCAGAAGGCTGTTCCTCAGGCCTCTGTTGACTCTGGTCTTAAAGTCCAACCAGTGGCCGAGACTTTGTCTAATGGTCATGTGGATGCTCCTAAGAAGTCATATGCATCACTTGTAAGTTTTTGTTTCTATGTAATTATGTTGGGTCTTTATTAGTGATGATGATCACTTGTTAATTTTTTGAATTAATTCAGCTTAAAAATGGGAACGAGGGTGCAACTAAGGCACCTGTGCACAGACCTACTATTGCTGCTAAGGCTCCAACTTCAAAGGCACCACAGAAGAATGTAGCCCCCTCTCCTGCGGCACAACCAACTCGTCCTGCTGCTCCAGTGTCTGCAACTGTATCTGAATCTTCTGCTCCTAATGGAAGCAATGGTAATGCCACTGTCCAATCCGAAGGTACTACCGTTAAAGTGTCAATTATTTAAACTTTACTATGTTTTCCCATTTTTGTCTAATATTATAAAATAGAATAGTAATTAAGATATGATTAATCCTTAACTCTCCATGATTTAAATTTTCCTTGAATATTGTGCAGAAAAGGGGCATTCTGTATATATTGGAGATTTGCCTTTCGATGCAACTCCGACTCAAATTGAGCAGGAGTTCAAAAAATTTGGACGTATTAAACGCAATGGCATTCAAGTACGATCAAATAAGGTATGTAATTATGAAGGCGTATTTTCTTCCTTATAAGCACCTAATCACGATGTACTTTTAGCTATTTTAAGCACGTTATTGATGAAATCTCTTTCCTTCCGTGCTTCTGCTTGATACAGGGTTATTGTTTTGGATTTGTTGAGTACGAAGATGCCGCTGCGAAACAGAAGGCAATAGAAGTATATTCTCAACTCTGGACTCTGTTTGTCCTTGTTTCTTTTTGCACTGCCATTCTTTGCTTATAATTAAATAACTGTTCATGAACTAGCTGTTGGATATTAAAATTTCCAGCATTACTTACCAGCTTGTATAATGTATACCACTGCTGCTCTAATAGCTTCCCATGTTACGTCTTTTATTAAACCAAATACGTGGGTTTTTTCCTATTGCTTTTCCCCCTCTTTTGCTTATAAATAAATATCTTTTGGGGTATTTATGAATTAGCTAATGGATTACTTGGAATATTAAAATTTCCAGCATGAAATACACATACAGATCGGATACCTGCATGATTACTTGCCTGCTTGTTTACCCATGCAACCCCTGTATGTTACGCTTTTGTTTAAGCTTTTTTTCCCATTTGTTGGGAGAGAGAGAGAGGGGGGGGGGGTTGAGATACATGTACATAGTTTTTTTTTTTTTGGGGGGGGGGGCTGCCTTGTTTTCAGAAGTTTTAATGATCTCCTTCTAACTTATCTAAGTAATCTTCTCTACGGATAACCTTCCTAGAACAATTCAATTATGCAAGGCTTAATTAAATGAGCAAATGAACTTAGTTGGGTCTTTAGGCTGTAGTGCTGTTCCTTGTTCCATTTTCTTTATTTGATGCAAATCTATCTCTTTTTTTTAAAAAAATTATTATTTTATAAGAATATTCTAATCATTATGTGTGGATTCATGTACTTCTGCAGTTTCTGCTATTAGCAGCTGCAGAGATTCCTTGTTATGTATTGTCTATTTCTGATATGTTGATTTAATTTTTCAGTTGGGCTACATCAATATTGGTGGGAAAGAAGCTTTCATTGAAGAGAAAAAAACGAGTACTAAAGGTAAGCACATCTTGCTACATTTTTGTGTACTTTGATATGTAGTATACAATTTTTGCTGTTGGGGATTTTACCAAGTTAACAAAATTTGGTTGTTAATCTGATGTTCTATTGTTCTCTGTAGTTGTCAATGGTGTGAGCACGTATCCCTCTGGGCGAAATGGCTTCAGGAATGACGGTTTCAGGGGTCGTGGCAACTTTTCAAATGGTGGTCGTGGATATGTAAGAAGTGACAATGGCAGGCGCAATGGGGAAGTTCCTTCTCGAGGAAACCGTAATGGGGATGGATTTGTTTACCATAATGGTGGTGGAAGAG